GAAACTTCAAGCCTCTAGCTTGAAGCCCTATGTTCCACTGGGAACGTGAAGGAATAAAAAAAATGAAGGTCAAAAACCGCCCAATTGAATTACACTGTGTGTAGTGTAACAACAGAAGGCAAGAGTCAGGCAACAGATCATATATTAGGAAAATCAAAGCATATTTATATATTTTCATGTACATTACTATGGATATTTAAGCAAACAAACACAGTCTTCCGATTGGTTGTTTCTCACGTAAAGTTAATCTTTCATCTATTTTTGACTGTTTCTTGAATGTCAAATCCTCTATATGTTAACTGCATCCACCTACGCAAAGTCTGCTGTGGTCGGTTTTGAATCAATCTTTGTTCACATTTTCTCACGACAAATCTTGGGAACGTAAATATTGACGTAAATTACTGTCTACCAATTTGGCTAGTAGACAGCTCTCACCACAGTAGGACGAAATATATCTCTCAGTAGCAAAATGATTTAAAAGGGGTGATTTCAATTAGAACTGCCTTATATTAACCACCCATCACTTGGATCAGTTAGGATGTGTGTTGAGTATGTCCCCACCACCCCACTCTACCTCAACGTCGTAGGCTACCAAAAATCAGCAAAGGTTAGAAGAAAGTCAAAGACAGCCAGGCCACGAAATGGTGTCCATTATTGCAATTCATTCCTATCGGTCCGAATCAGATAAGCCATCTGTTTGACGTCTGCACAACAACAGGGACCTATGATTTGGTTCAGTGAGCGGGGGTGGGGGGGTACTTTGGAAACTACGGTTATATTCCACTTTTAATGATATTTAATGGTCCAGATGTGAAGTGTGTGTGAATTTGGACAACCAAACAGTATAAGAATAGAACTTGTGCACTGTGGTAGAGTATAATTCCACTATGGAGAAAATTTGATAGTCTTACACTGTTGTGCAGTAATATTTGCTCATTGTAGATATAACTATGTAACACTCCGAGATTTTATCGAAAATTTTATCCATGGTGGAGCCCATCAGTATGTCTCTCTGGTGGATACATGAATTTCGATGACAACTTGAACACATCAATGACTGGCAGTACACCTTTGATTACCCCATACAATTTGATTTGATTTCCCATCTTAGCTGCAAGATTATGTTGTTCAAGGTAACAGGTATAGTTAACTGATACAGCACGCTGCATACTACTGAAATCCAAAGACTAAATGGAATATATAATGAAACATTTTTTATCATGTAAGAAAGCTTCCGGCAACTGGAAACCCTTTAATCAACTTAAAAGCTAGACCAAAAATTTCTGTTGATGAATATTCTGATATAAATGCGTTAAATCGATCTTTTTGAAGAAAACAAGCCTATATTGTTTCCAGGTCTTAATGAAAAGGATGTCTCGAATCTTTAAATCCATCATACAGACTAGGTCCCGACGGTGTGCCAAGCATTTTAACTCAAAAGTGTGCAGATGTTTTGTGTTATCCTCTTACACAAATCTTTAATGCACCATTTAACAGGGATACAGTACCTGTTGCTTGGAAAGAGATAAAGGTTCTACCTGTATCAAAGTCATCTTCTGGATCAGGTCTAAAGTTTAGGTCAATCGCTATCAAGTCTCCATTTTTGAGGAATATGGAGAAACTCCTCATGCATGTTCTTAAAACCTTCTTCAAAATCTTTTAATGACTCTAATCAATTTTCTTATAAATGCAGTAGAAGCACATTAGATGCTGCCGTTGTACTCCATCACAATATTGTTTCAAGTCTTGATGAAGGTGCAAAGTTTGTTTGAGCCTCCATTTTAGACTACACTGGCTGCTTTTGACTCTATTCCTAGGATACTTCTATTAAGCAAGCTGATTTCTGCACGCAGTGAGTCCTCAGGTCACAATGTGGTTGCCTTACCACTTGTCTATCGGTTAGAAAACAACATACTATGTTAAATGGAAAGCACTCCACTTTGTTGTCAACGGAAACTGGTGTGCCTTAAGGCGTTGTGCTCTCTCCATTCCTTTTCTCTTTCTTTTTGCATGACCTTGCGTATTTTTTCAAAGTTAATTTCATTGAACATGCTGATTATCTAACCATTTCTGTTTCAGTAGTTCCGGCATTGGATTGTTCTTATATGAATGGATTCTTATCTGAAGTTAACAAATGGTCTCATCTAAATGGTCTTAAACAAAATCCATCTAACGTCATTATTGTTGATTTCAGTTTGAGATGTAAAAACAAGACTTGGGTGGACTGATTCACTCTCATGATTCCTGTAATATTGACGGCACTGTGTAATAGGGAGTAAATCGAATATCTCTCCTGTCTCGGCATCAGTTTCTCTTCGAATCTCTGTTGATCGTCTCATATCCTGTTGATTTCTAAGAAATTTTTTCGCTTGACTTATTACACAAAGAAGTTGAGACTTTCTGCTGGCATAACTCACAACACCTCTTCTCTTACAATTTATCAATTCATGTATTCTAGCCATTCGTCTTTATTGTTTGCCACACTTATTCTTCCCTGGATTTCTCAAAAAAGACTATATTATATATTACGTAGGACATTGAAGGCTGTAGGTAGGGTCAGTGGTGTGTGCCTTTGACTCAGCTGACTGATATTATTGTCAGTAGGTAGGCACTTCAATGCCTGCAAGCAGTTGGCTAAAGTTATCTTGTCTGATACCGAACATTCTCAACTTTTTCCTTGTATCTCTTTCCTCTGATAAAACCAGAAGAAAACTTCATAAGGATTTATGCTCGTACAACTGAATATAGATTATTCAACCATATTCAACCAAGCCTCCAAAGCCTCAGGATGGTCGGGGGTGGGTGCCTTGCGCTGCGGGTTGGCCACCCCTCCGCACACCTCTTGAAATGCTCCCATATGACCGGGCGTGGCGGAGGTGTTTTTTCACCAAAGTGAGAGGGCGAAAGCGGATGCCCGGCGCTCTTCACCGGGTTGACTGTCCATTGGATGACAGTCTAGGGGAGATGGCTAAACCCTGATTCCAAACCTCCAACGACTGGCATATGAAGCTTACTGGAGCTCACCGGCAGACGTATGGACAAAGGGCTTGTTGGATGTCTGGCCCCATTCAAAAAGGCATATGAACCGAACTCCGGTCACCGGCTGCCAATGGATAGTGGACTCCCTACTCCACTACTACTGCCTTGTAGGTCACACTTGGTTGTGTAAAGGCTAGAGTTGCACTCTCAAACAAAAGGCCGAGCGATTCTGGGGACATCACTCGTACCAAATTCCCATGAAACTTCATGAACTCTCTTACAAACGAGGTACAGTCAAGGCTGATATGGAGTACCTGGGGCTACAAACCGTCTACGGACTCCGTCTGTGGAACAAGAATTGGATAACCCTGTCGCAAAACCTTGCATCAGATCGCCGCGCCTGGGCAGCGATGATTCGAGATGTTCATGAAGCCGGCTCATCCTCTCGTAGGAGATAGCCGAAGTAAAGTAAAAGTAAGTACCTGCATATTCAGCAGGGGCTTTGTGTGAAGAGAGAGTCAGATGTCAAAAAAGAACTTATAAACTTTTAAATCAGTAACTGAACTGCAAAGTATAACAATTATTATTATTCATTGTATTCCACTAACTTTCATTTCTTGTGGTTTTATTATTTTTACTATTTTATGCAATTATATATATCTATAAAAGGAGTAAAATTGTCGCAATATGCACAAACCGCTGAAAATTCCATTCTGTATGATTATTATTATTATTGTTTGGAAAAGAGTGATTATACTATTACTGATTGACATGAATAGTTGAACACCGTTCACATCAACCAGTAGTGCTTGCCAGCCAGGCAAATCGGAGTCATGCAAGTTGTCTTTTTGGAGTCCACACGATAACAGCAACCTAAGATTTGGTTTTGGGAGGAGGGCGCACTTTGGGACCTACGGTTACATCCCATATTTAGTGATATTTTGATTGGTTGGAGGATTTCATCATGAACTGACATCAGTTAGCAAAACGTTGGAAAACTAGGCTACTGGGAGTACTGGACAGCCACCTGCTTCATCAGACTAGATTGGGACTCCGCTTCAGCATTACGCACCTACCGCCAGTGTTCGAGCTCTAGACTTTCTGTTTACAAGGCAAGCGATCTTGTAGACCATTCAGCCACTCATTGGGACCCGATCCAATGACCAGCCCATGAATTCTAACTTCTGCCAATTCACAACATAGTGCGACTACTTCGCAACGTCTTCTTCAATGAGTAATTTTCCTCACCTTCAACCTGCTGTACCCTACTGGTCACGGCTTCCCACTAGAACCCCAGGTTAACTGCCTGAATAAGGCCAGTAGCTAGTGAGCACCAGATTAATTTTCAAGTATTAGTTTTGTAGGGAACCCCGGTGGGTGCGTACTGCTGAAGAGGAGTTCCAAACTAGGCTGACGAAACAGCTGGCCGTCCTGTACTCCTAGCTAGTTTTTCAATGGTCATCTAACTGATGTCAGCTCATGATGAAATCTACCAACCAATCAAACAAAATCCCTAAAAAACACCAATACTTGAAAATGAATGATATTTGTTGGTTCAGATGTGAAGTCTGTGTGTGTGTATATATATGGATTTGGACAGCCAAACAGTAGATCTGTCTGCTGCATACAAGAATTTCGATCACAAGTTGAACTTGTCAATGAATAGCAGTACACCTTGGACTACCCAATACAACTGGACGTGACTTTTCATCTTATCCGCAACACATTAAGTTTTTCAAGTTAACACATATACTCTACTGATTGATTTAACATGACTAGGTGAACACCGTTCACATCAGTCAGTCATATCAAAGTGATTTAAACACCAGCGGAAAGCTGTTCCCCTCGTTTGGCGGCGAACTTATCAGTGATGCAACTCGTTCGTTCAACTCAGTCAGCTAGCTCAGAGAGCCAAATCAGTTTGTACCTTCACAATACTCGTCAGTCGTTTAGATGGACTGATGATATATGTTAAATCGAATTCGCAGTCTGAAATTTACACAGTGTTGTTCTATTGACTAACTGATACATCATTGCAGAGAAACTTAAGATACAATATCGAATAGTGTTTTCTGCGCAACTTATCAAAAATAAAACACTGTATGTAAATAACTCCAATATATACAAAGAAGGTGAGTAATATTTTTACAAAAACTGATATCAATCAATAAAATTTGCAAAAAAAGTGTGTCAGTGTGCATGCATATGTGAATACTATACAAGTTGTATACAAAAAAGAAATATCTGTACATTTTGAATAAAAGACAAATTGATTCCATTGGAATAACACACAGGTGAACTCTCTATAAAAAGAAGTAGAAAAAGGATTGGTTAGAATATACTACTACTACTACTAGTGATAGTGTGATGTGTGTGTGTGTGTGAGTTTACACAAATATACTTAGTAATAAGGAGACTTGGCACACTCGTGTGCGCGCGTCAACAAAGGCATTTCCAACAGGCCACTACTCCAAACTGTCATCAAAAGCTGCCGCCTCCGGCCTCTCCCGCTCAATAACGACGAAGATCAGATGACTGGCGAGGAAAAGTCAGATTTTAAAAATAAGACTCTGTAAATATCCTTATATCTTTCCCTAACTGACTTAGATAACTTCCTTACATAAGGAACACTAGAGAAACCTGTTAATATATCTGCTATATATGATCATTTCAGACAAATTCATTGCCTGTTGGGAAATTTCAAGCACCGAATCAAACTTTCACGCCCATAAAATCGGCAGGAAGCCTTGCCACGACTCAGGTTTCGTGCTTTCTGGCACTCATTTGCCTGCAAGACGTATCTGCAATCTTGAAGGAACTTATGTCCCTTTTGAGATTGGAACCCGTGTCAACCAGTGCCGCCCTCAGTCAGAGACGTTACCACCGAGCTACCTGAGCTCACGATTTACCTCCAGTAGGATTGTATTAGAAGGAACATGAGTTCCTTTATGGTTGCACATACGCCTTGCTGATGAGTGCCAACCATCACGAAACTTAGGTCCAAGGCTTCCTGTTGATTGCTTCCAACCATCTAATAACAACAGTCCTGAGTGTACTGTGATGGCGAGTCATATAGCATGGTGGCTGATAGAATCCAGTCTTCAGTAAACAAAGGACTAGACACATGACACTAGTGAGTGCCCAGTCAAAAAGTACACCCACAAAGGTTTGCAATATGTGACCGACAGCAAACCAATACATTGGTTAATGTGGATATCTCCAAAAAATCAACCACCTCAGACATCGTCTAATCATTTCAATTTTTTCTGTCTATAATCAACTGGATTGGATCCCAGTAAACACAGTGACCTGTATGTGCTGTCTGACTGAACAAACCAGTCAATGCTTTTCCCTACTCTCCCGTTATCCCATCTATTGACTACAGTTTCAGTGAGTTTTATGAAAAACTGTCTGATTTACTGCAAAAAGCGAGAAAATAAACACGAAGATAAATGCCATATAATCCAGTAACTTTACTGTTTATAAAAGGAAGCTAAGCCAGTGAAGACGGTTTACTAGGGCATCTGCAGACTACCGCAACGACCAAACGACATTGTTGACAATCTTTTACGACTTCTTCAGAGAATCATGTGTTTCGTGAATATGTATATCATTAACTTTGAACATGAAAAGAAACATTTTCTCATCTAACAACCTCCAATATCAATCCAATGGTCGACACAGAAAAAGAACTACTTTACTAAAAGTTATCGATCGTGGTTGTTAAAATTGGAAGATGTTATGAGGCGAGTTGTCTTTGATCAGACATCTTTGCGTTCTGTCTCCCATATTAAGTGGTATAGTATGGTCATTGATATTAGGGTTGCATATGTAGAGTGTTCAGAGAAGAAGGAAAAAACCAATCGATGGGATTGGTGGAGCTGCATCGATTGAGATGGTAAGGACACGTAAAGATAGGTGACATAGGGTTAGGTTAGCAAACAGTCAGACGTAAACCAGACATCAACCAATGCAGTCTTTGACTGCCGGTTTGACCAGCCACGTTGGGGGTTGTAGACTGGGTGGCTGGGATGCATAAAACACTAAGAGCCAGTGGTTTGAGATTATTGGTGTGTGCTATACGGATTACGGTAACTTGAACTGCTGCGCTTTTGTGCAAAGAGGGGAAATCAATAGACAAGGCTGTGAAGTTACATCGATTAAGTGAGATGGTTAACACATGTGTTACGCATGCATGCCTAGCCATCCACCGCCTTCCTCGATAATGGGCAATGTTAACTGACATGGGTTGGTTCAGTTGGAAAAGAGATAGCCAGTGGTGGTCAAACCGAAACATAGCTTCATCAGTCAATGGAATCCAAAACAGTTAGTTTAAGTCACGTAGGAAGATGTAGACTTCCCTGTTGGGGTCCTCGGGATGGTAAACACTAATGAATACTGGAGACAATGGGTGATATGGCTGGCTGAAAATCATTCTCAATGGCTGGCGCAGATGCATCCACTCCTTGTAACTTATAATACCCAATAAAGCTTTATTGTTCTTCGATATTACTATTCTGTTTGCCTCATATCTCTGTTTACTGTCTCTATTTTGCGTTTTTTTTCCTTTCTTCTTTTCTGGCTTTGTGTGCTGAGTGAAGTGTGGCGACTCGAACTTCTGCACACTGGTGCAAAGTTCTATGTTGAAACCAGACAGACAGAGACAGACAGCATAGTGTGAGTGATTATGAGCGACGTTAAGATGATAAGCGCTGACAGTCTAACCACTATCTAAGCGACTACCTTCCTGACAAGGTAGAACCTACCAGGACATTTGTTCTAGTCACTGTAGCCTATTGGGTCATTGGAATATGCTAGTGCTAGCACAATGTAGTACCACCTGTCAGTCGAGACAATTTCATGTGTGCTTGATAACATTTTTTAAATAATAATAATAATGTTTTAGATATTATAAAGAGGAGGAGCTTACTTGTTAAATTTTTATAAGGTATCCTCATTATCCATATCATCTATGTCTGCATTGAATACAACACTGTGATAATCATCAATTGCTGATGGTGTTGTTGTTGTTGTTCGATGTCCATGAACATTAGTAGCAATAGTAGTAGTAGTACTGCTACTACTACTATTGAAACCCATAAATGCACTATCATCGAGTAGCTCCCCGCCTCTATGGATAATATTATCCTCATCATCATCATCGTCGTCTTCATCGACTACCACATCTAAATCGTCTAAATCTGTACCAATCATGCCACCAAGACGATGCAATGATTCGCTTAAACCTCCCATATTTGTAGAATTTAAATTAGACGAAGAATTTGCAACTAATTCAGCGACAACAGATGTCTGTAAATCCCCATCATCATCATCATCGTCGACGTTCTCAACATCATCATCACCACCACCACCACCTATCCGATAAGAAATATTATTATTGCTATTATAATCATCATCATCATTATTACCATTATTCAAATCGTCGTTTTCATCACCAGAGTCCGATAAGAGGAGTTCTGCAGCTAGTTCATCTTTAAGGCTACCAAATTATTATTATTGTTGTTATTAGATTCAGACAATGGAACACCAGTAGAGATATCATCAACAGTAGCAGTAGTTAGAGTAGACTTCCTCTTGTTGTATGCATTCGTGGAAGAAGACAACGACTGACCCGACTATCAGGAGAAGGAAAGTAAGACAAATAATAATAATAATAGTCATGATTTGCTTTATGTCAAAACAGCACTTATGATACAGTGTGGAATTCTCGGCATTTGGTACAATATTGCATCTAATTTACTCAACAACAGCAAAAACAAAAAAATATATTCAAGGGTTGATTTTTTTTCGAATTTGAACCATTGAAAACCAGCGAGTACTGGACAGCTGTTGTTAGCTAGTGACTTGCTACAGGACGGAGCTTCCTGGAGTTCTAGTGAGAAGTCGTGACCAGTGAGGTACACATCCAGTTGGGAGTACGGATGAATTTCCCACCGATGACATTGGGTATTGGTCGCGTTAAAAATCACGAGTAGGTAGAAGTTAGAATTCATAGGCTGGCCATTGAATCTGGCCCAAGTGACTGAATGGTATACGAGCTTGCCTTGTAACCGGAAGTCCCTGGGTTCGAACCGTGGCGACGGGTGTGTACTGCCGATGATTACTAAACTAGGATGAAACAGCCATCCAGTACTTCCTGGTGGTTTTCAATGGTTATCTAAGTGACATCAATCCGTGGGCAAATTCGAAAAAAGTGTATATTATTTTTTTTAAATAGGATAATAGCAGATTTTTGGTATTAGCAGTGACAATAAAGTCAAAAATGTACAAAAAGTGAAAATAATAATAATAGTAATAATGTTAATAGATAAAGTTATAAGATAACTGAAATAGTGTTACCACATATTACCAATAGGAGGGAATAAAAGAGCCATCTATTTTGCTAATTAGCATAGTGAGTTGTAAGTATCACGCTTAACACACTATCTCAATCGCATAAAACGCGACGGGACCAAATAGGGTATATCACTGGGTCTCTGTACTTGCTTGTGCGACCATATAATCTTTTATTATGATGACTTCTGGTCCTACCTACCTGATGAGATGCAAGGCGGGGAGAGTTGTGAACACAGAGTCAGGTTTCGACAGTCAGACAATATGGATTTACTCTGTTTCTCACATGAGTTCAAGTGTCTGTCGACTACAATAGTAACGAGATGACTTAGTAGTGGTACACTACTTGCCCTATTAACAATCTTTAATACCCTGCAGCAATAGGACATAGTCCTTTTTGAGTAGTTCAAGAAAGAAAAAAAGGAGAACAATAAAAAAAAACAATAGGTAAGATGCAAGCGTTCCCGAATTGCAAAAGTAAAGTTTGAGTGATACCTGATTATCTTAACTTCCTAATGTAGAAGGTTAGACGATGGAACATTTTCTTAGAAATCGACAAGATATGAGATAACAGACCAAGAAAAGTCAGTGGATAGAACTATTCCAAGATATTTTATGCTTGACTTAAATTTCTGTTTCAATGCTTTCTATGCTACAAGCATCTTGTGAAAGAACCAGTTGGTGTAGATCATGCCGTTTTTAGTCTGAAGGGGAAGTTGACCATCTGACATTTAGAGGGATACGCAACAGATGTATACAATTATGAAGTACTACTTTTTAACTCATGAGTCTGACTGACTTCAAGTTAGATAACGAGCTGACATCAGCTGTTTCGCCCCAGTCCCGAACTCTTCAACACTTCGCACTTATGACTTCCAACCACCGATCAAATGCAGGACCTTCAGGTTACTAGGTGAGTATGTCGACTCTGTTCAGCCGCCGGGATAGGATCCAATCGATAGCCTATGAATTGCAGACTGTGACAGACTATCGTCCCAGACTACTAAAAACTATTGCAAACTTTTATCAAGTTGCCTTTTCTGTTTCAATACAGAAGATCAGATGGTTGATCAGAAAGGACAAATAAGCAACAAGGAACTCCGGTAGGCAGTGAATCAGCCGACAACTACCTATCACCCAACAAATATGCGGAGTGAAATAAAGAATCGGAGATATGCTTAGGAGGCCTTCAAGTGACATTATGTGGCGAGTGTTACTGATAAGATTTATCAGTAGTATATAAGAGACGTTCATCGGGGAGATTGATTTGATGTCAGCGAAAGCAAATGATACAGCTTTGCAGAGAAAGGTGGGAGACGTGAAAGGCAAACAAAGAAACTCAATATGAAGTCCAGAAGTACCACAACACAAAGATCTATGCAAATGGTGCGTTGAAGATATTATTATTATTATTGTTCCCTTGGGTTCCTAGTGGAACATAGAGCTTCAACTACACGTCTCCACTTGCTTCTGTCTTCTGCTGTACTTTTCACCTGCATCCATGTTAATCCATACTGTTTCAACTCCTCTTCACACGATCTCCTCCATGTTACCCTTGGACGTCCCACTCGCCGCTTCCCTTTCGGGTTCCACTCGAGCACTGGCCTGACGCGCGATGTCACCCAGCGGCATCCTCAGCGAGTGTCCAATCCATCTCCACTTTCTCCTGCATATTTGTTGAGCGATTGGTCCTTGCTTTGTTTCTTCCCATAGTTTCTTGTTGGTGATTCCTTCCAGCCATCTGATCTTGAGTATAGAACGAAGACAGTTGTTGATAAAGGTCTGCAACCTGTTGGAAATATTCTTTGTGACCCCCCAAGTTTCTGATCCATCCGTATAGAAGAACTGACTGACTTGACGTTTGTATTGAAAATCCGAATTTTGTTGTTGATGCTGAGTTGAGTGACGAAGATTTCCAGATTGGTTTCAGGTTGATGAATGTGTTTCTCGCCTTCCCGATTCTCGATTTGACATCCTCGTCCGTCCTTTTCTCCTGTAGTTGAGACAATGCTCCCTAGATAAGTGAATGAAGTCACCTCTTTCAAATCCCTCCCGGTGATGGTGATTGGCGCTGGATGTTTCTGTTGTTGTTGTTGGTTGGTCATTTTCATAACCTCCGTCTTGTCTATGTTCACCTGGAGTCCTGTCTTTGCTGCTTCTTCGACCAGTTTGTCAGTTTTCGCTTGTAAGTCTTCGATTTTGTGTGACATCAAACATAAATCATCTGCGAAATCTAGGTCCGCGTTGAAGATAAGATATACATAATTTGGCTATATAGAGATACCAAGTTCTAAATAAACATTCCTTTACCAATTCTTCGTTTTCTATTGTTTCAGTTATATGTACGGATTTTGGAAGTCCAATGATGATATGGAGAAGTTGATATAAAGAGGAAATGAAGGCGTATAGGGAGTGGTGGACCCAGTAGAAAGTGATAGCAGAAAATTTAGTGAGCAGTTAATCTACAGAATTCAGTGATGTACAGTAGATTCATATTTATATAATTCTCAGCGATAAAGTAAGATACAAGGTTTGGAAGAGAAGCTAACTGATTGACTGGTTCACTGATTTAATTAGTCACCTTTGAGTCAGTAGGCTCCAGGTTCAAATCCTAGTCCACCTGCATCCGTCTAGGCAAAAAGACATTAGCATCAATGCGAACACAATAAGTGTGGCCCATACATAGTCCAATATATACATGAAATATACATCTCAGATAACTGAGATCAACTTTAAAATGATACTGAGTGGTAATCATCATTCAAATAATTCCTGAAAAGTAATTAACATGAACAGATGTTTCCACTTTTCAATAACACACACCTCCCCGTCTCATGCAGGATCAAGTTCAGGACAATAACGTAAGGCAGTAAGCACAATACGATTTACCTAGTGAGTCACAATAAAACGAATCACTGAACAGTGACTGTTCTGTATCACGAATTATAAAATTTAAGAAACTAACAGCTGTTGAATTCTAAAACAATGACTGAATGGTAGTGATAGACTTATTGTGATGCCTACAGATCCTCAACTCAATACGACTGAGAGTAATGGAGTGCCCCACTGATGTGGAGTCACAAACTACAAGAGAAACAGTCTCCAAGTGTTCCTTGGCCTTCAACACCTGTCTGAAGTAGAGTCTTCATGCCTTATCACTAAAATTTCTCAACAAAGTTAACATAGCGGTTGATAAAGATTATGACCTTAAAAAAAGAGAATCCTCAAATTACCTCTACTACACTTCCAGAATTTTGATTTTGTGTAGATGTTTGGCTTTTACTCCTTTCGTTATTATCATCAGTAATCGATGATGACAACGGGTCATTATCATTTTCATTATCACTAGGACGGCTACTGCTACCTGCATGACGACCACGACGATCACCAGGATTACGACGATCACCGCCACGACTACTGCCACTACTGTCATCACTATCACTAGATGAGCCAAGACTGCTGCTACTGATTTCACCAAATACATCACGGTGATCGATGGCGTAAGCTCGAGTGCCTGAAATGTTGAAAAGTAAACGAAGAAAAATGATCATAAGAAGCGTTAGGGACACGAGAAGATATATTATGAGTGAACCTGAGATTTGACTCCAGCACAGATTACGAGAGTCACGTTGTCGGATCAGTGGTGATCAGTCGTGTATATTGTTATTATGTTGAAGTAAATAGTGGTTTCATTGAAAAAAAAGAACTTTGTGTGGACATTCCGATCATAAACAGTTTGTCAAATGTTCGAATTACTTCCCACATCATCTGGGGAATGCTCAACTAGGTGGACAACATCATCCGTCATACCATTACTAAGTATACATGAATATGTATAATAATGATAGACACTAGAAGGTAAAATATTCCAGGAGATTTTTAATGTCGTATGTACATTAACATTCAACCAATATGTTAAATTCTAGTGCGATCGATAGCTGCTATCTGCCTTGACGTCGTGGTCGAGCTTGCATATCGCAATGACTCAACGAGCTACACTGGCTGGGACTAATTTTCCTGGTGGTCCTACCGTGCCAGAAAAGTTGTTTGAAAGGCTATTAGATTAAAAGCAGTTACCATTATAGCGTAAGTCGTTTACACTAATGTTGGAAGATCTGACAGTGAAGTTGCACTGCTGGTGAATAGGACTGCGACAGCAGTAAGGTGTTTTTCTCAGGTGACCAGCAAACCAGCTATGCTATTTTTCCACTCCGGGGGATGGGCATTTGGAAAACGGCACATTCTCACTTAAAATGTGGCTTTTCGTTGCCGACAGTAAGATCTTCCCTGCGGACACAACTTTAGCAACCACCTAAAACAATCTGCATGTGACCGGCCTCAAGCAGTTGTCCCGTGGGTTTCGAGGTTATGCAACACTAATGCTCTTTGTGTTCCAGGGATTCCAAGAAGAAATCACCTTGCATGGTGTCAGCAGCTGGGTAGTAATAATCGCCCTCACACGCACGCACTTCCGCTGACTTATCTTAAATTCTGGTGGATCATTCTGTTCAGTTCTGGTGAATTAACAATAATTATGCATTGCGGTATGATTTCCAGATGAATGCCAACAAGATCTTTTGAGAAGGCATAATTTGCAGAGATAATCAATCAAGTCAGGTGTAAGGTTGGATGTAACAAGATGACCGAAGGGATATGCACTATTGAATATTGTCAAAAATCTGTAGTCTTTTCTTATTTTCTACCTAAACACAGTAAACTGTTGTGCAGTACACATCATCTCCAAATGCACAATTGTATATTAATTCTGTGTCGAAGATAACACAGTTAAGCAAACGCTGAATAACCTTTCTGTATACACATTGAGATTTTGCGTCAGAGATCAGTCTATTATGGTTGATGCAACTTTATAAATAAGAGAGATGGTCGATGCATTCAACAAAATTGTTCTGTCCAGTGCATCCCAGACAACGGTGGTATTCCCAGTGACAAAGTAGGCGGTAGGTTCTGCTCTAAAAGGAGGAAATGATTACCTCTTTGGAGGCAAGTAAGTCAAGTTGTAAATGGAGTTGTGAAAAAAGGCATATTCTGGTTTCTACTTACTATTTACAACTAATAAAAAGTGTATACATGGAGAGTGCTGAAAAATTAGATCTCTATTTCATGGAAAATGTGTCTACTACAACCTGATGACTTCAAGCTTATGCTTCAGTTGATCTTGGAAAATACGAATGACCCTTGGAATATTGTTTTAGTCTATGCCAGCTTTTAATCGGATTTTTCAAAATGATCAACTTTCTAGGTGATTAAAATTGAATTATGACTCCAACTGCTTCCCTACCCCATCCTTATAATGCAAAACACTGCTACCAATAGGCTTGGCTTTACTACTCACCATTTTGACATGTTGGTGTGCAGAGATTGATCACTAATTGACTCAAGTTGGAGAACTACTGGAAACCATGAAATACTGGAAAGCTGTTTTTTTTTGGTTAAGCTTGAGACTCTCCATCAGTATTTACTCATACCCCACGCGGGATCGAACTCTAGAGACCTTCAAGACTACAAGGTGAGCCCATTAACTATTCAACCAGTAGGACGGAATCCAGTGGCCCACATCAGCTGGTGAAATATAACGCACCTACCCGCCAGTCAATGTCATCAGAAAGTAGTTGGCCTAACACCCAAAGTGGACCATGCAGATCATGACATCTCATCACAGCATCATAGTGTAGTCAGTGACGAGTGAGTATACATTCTAACTTCCGCTACCTACTATTTTGTATGAATATTACAAACGCTTTAGGAAATTGTGCAAGCGCATCAATAAAACAAGTATCAGATATATACTACCAGCTAGTGACACACTGACCATTATTCTGTTAACATAAGTGTGGTGTGTCAAGATACACCTGGCTGATGAATGCCAACAGGTGCGAAGCCTAAGTTCCACTTTCTTCAACCACTTATAATGGTAGTAGTATGTGATATCTTTATTGAGCTAATTAGGTAGAGGGCGCAGAGACCACTTAATCTAACCATTATACTTAGATAGGATTAACCCATTCACCCAAACTGTGGTAAATAGTTACCTGAATGATGCGCAAAAACGCACACACACATACACACACAGCAAGAGTTCAAAAACATACAACTTACCATCCTCATCTTCATCCTCTATTTCATCATCAGCTGTTGGATGTTGACTGCCTAATTGGTCATTGGCATCACCAGATTCAGTGTTTAATGTACTCGATTTATTGCCTGCATTAGCTCGTGCTATCGGAGCTGGTGGATCAGTCCAGATTACTTCCCATCTAGATAATATAGCAGAAAAAAACATTCTGTATACATTCAGGAAAAAAAGACTCTAACTACGTTTATTTTAATATTACTATAGGCTAGTTAATTAGTACTAATCACCATAGTAATAATAATAATAATTTGCTTTATTCCAAAACAGTACTTGTGATACAGAATGGAATTCTCAGCATTTTTACTACAGTATTGCATCCAGTTAGTACATTATCAATAAATAGAATTCTACATAGATTGAGGAAACCAACAGTTCATTATTACAACAATACATTGGCATGTCAGTAGCAAAGGTAAAGCTGAAACAGTGTTTGAAGGTGTTAGAAAAGTGGGAGCTGTCTTATTAACAGGCGTAAGCGAGAGAAAGAGACAAAGCAGCACACAACGGAAAAGAAGAGAGAGAGAGAAAAGGAAAAGAAAGAAAGAAAATGTTGTACATATTGATGATGTGGGTTGGAAAGACGAGATCCAGTTGTACTACTGACTATTTAATGAATTATAGGTGTCACGTCTAATGCTTTCTTTATCACACAGAACACGAGCTAAGTAGGGTATGGTTGAGTTTTTGTACTTGCTGGTACCATCATTAGGAGTGAGTCGGTGGCACAGCGGTTAGGACGCTCGCCCACCATGCACATGGTCCGGAGTTCCCCGGACAAATCCCCGGCCACTGGACGCACTCCTTTACCTCGCTAAGCCAGAAATGAAGCTGGTAAAGAGGAAAGGTTGGGCACGAAGTGGCTAGCAACTCCATCTTGTAAAAATAAACACTGCTACAGAAACTTCAAGCCTCTAGCTTGAAGCCCTATGATCTACTGGGAACGTGAAGGAAGAAAAAAGGAAAAAACCATCAATAGAAGATTCATTTGCCTAGACAGCATCGTTTCAACTATAGGCACGCGACATGGATAAGGGATGTCAAAGGTAGACTCGGAAAGGTAAGACTGGCCTTCCTTAGTTTCAAGTTAGTGTGGAAACTGCTGTACTACACAGGAGAAGGAAAAAGATTCAGATTTACAACACCAATGTCAGCTCAGTACTTCTAGTATATGGTTTAAAGACTCCACGGAAGGCGTTTCCAACAGTCTGTATCAGACTTCAGTCAACAACTCCCTTCGTTCAATACTAAGGATCACGTGGTTAGTGGGAAAAGATAAGCAATAAAGAATTCTGGAAACGAAACAACCAACAATCTACGACCTAACAAATATGCAAAAATAAATGCAGATGGGTTAGATACGCATTGAGAAGACCGTTAATTGACATCACATCCTGGGCTCTTCAGTGGGACCCGAAAGGGGAAACCACAAGTTGGGAGTAGATATGAGGGTGATATTGCAGAGACTGTGTGAGTGGAGGGAATGAAAGCATATGGACAGTTGTAGAGCCAGTCAAGAAAGAGTTCAGAAAACACAGTGATATAAGGATGTGATACTGAAGCTGTATGTCTCATTTGCAACTCAAGAAAATAAGTAACTCTTCAGCGTATTTCAGCACTGTTGATTTTGAAAACTTCGGTGCTGTCACAATCATCAAGAGCAAACAAAGTAGTGAAAATTCAAGTACAGTGTGACAACACTTCCAACTCTAAATTCTCCTACAGTATGTTGAAGAGAAATACAATTGAAACTCGTGTCTGTTATGACAAGAAGTTAGAAATATGCTGATAGGACATAATATTGATGCTGAACATTTAGATCGCTAGTAGACCAGGGTATTTGTGAAACCAAATATCAGTCTAATAGGGTTATCCTACATTCTACTAGGATTATGAGCTTTAGTCATTAGGTGAAACCTTTATTGACACATCTGAACAGATGACTTCATTCAGTATACTAGATCAACTGTACACCTTTTGATCCTATTCACTACTGTGTCTAGAAACTTTTCAATCTCTCTTCATACAGAAAGGGTTTGAGTAAGTTGATTGATGTTATGCCTGTCAGATTTGGCAGTTACCATGTGTCTTTCACAAGTGAAATTTCTTCTTCTGATATGTTCGTTTTCGTTTTATTTAGACGTCTCAATGTCAATGTACATCATGGTCAGACATACTGAAGTAGTTGTCTCATCTATTGTGCCTAATGTCACTTCTACACTGATTAACGCCCACAGTTTCTCATTGTTTAGAAAAAAAACAATCACCTTGGGATGTCACATACCGACAGAGAACCGTGGTAAATTTCAGGATTTAATGAACAACAAAATTGCTATTCATCATTGACCAAGTGACTGCTCACACAAATTCGTAGATTAGTGCGAAAAAGAAGCTACAGCGCGTTAAGAACTGATTTCAGGTAACTAACACGGGGAGAACAACATCTATGGATTCACTGCAGATTTATTGGCATTCAACCGACGAGTGTCACTCAGAAGAGAGACTCGAGTTTAATAAATATCTCAACCAGCCACCAATAAATAAGTAGTATATGCTTCTTTACAACAAAAAAGGTTTAGCAATTAGGATTAGTCAGTTTGACTCCAAACAAATGACACACTACTGAAACATAAATCATCACGAGTTTGTCTCTTGTGAAGTGTACAAGGAGAGGGCTACACTATGTGCTATTTGACGATTGTATCTACTCAATCACTTAAAAACTCAGTTTAAAGAGAATGATTTTAGGGTTGGAAGCTTGCACCATCTAATTCAGGCTAGTCAACTCTTCGTCATCATCGTGAGGATCAGCTTTCACAAAGTATGTGTAGCCCATAGTCTGATACATGAGAAATATGTTTCGAGTAACTGAGTCTGATAAAATCCCATCATATAATTGTACAATTATGAAGAGATCCCTTCATCACAAAGCATATATGAAATGAAGAGTAGTCAAAAACTATGAGGCAAATTGCCACAGTAGTGTACATTATCCTGACTGTCTTCAATATCCTTATTTTTACTGCAGCGTGTAGCTAAACCGATGCCGCTCAGATAAGTGAATGAGGTGACTTCTTTTAATTTCTCCCATTATCGTTGATCAGTTTTTGCTGTTGGTCGCGTAAATTTATCACCTAAGTCTTCTCCATATTTACTTGATGTCCCATAGTTTCTGCTCCTTCTACCAAATTATTAGTTTTCATTTGTAAATCTAGTGGGATCATAACTAATGTGACGAATAATTGTTTATGCAATTAGAGATTAAATATGCAGAATTAATAAAATGACAAAATAGACAAGAAGTTCGGATATGGCTAGCGAAAGGAGAACGAAAAGTGTATATAGTTCAGTGACAGAACATCTGGTCAATTAAGGACATTCAGGGCCATTCGAAAAATCCTTCAAAATAATGTACAAAATTCGATCAAATCTATCAAAGGGAGTAAAATAAAGACATTTGTGCACAATAGAAACACTAGCCATCCAAAAGTTCAAACCCACGCTATGTATCGAAAAGAAATACGTCCAACCCTTGTCCCTGCCGTGGCCATCATAAACAGGTAATTTTTTCTAATAGTGACTATCCCATTACCTCTCTTATCCAAACTTCCTGTTTATTCGCGTTAAGCTTTTCTTAATCCCTATTTACACTATCATATTTGCATACCCAAACTTCCTGCCTATTTTGTCATTTTATTATTTCTACATATTTAATCCCTAATTGCATAAACAATTATTCGTCACATTAGTTACGATCTCACTAGATTGTTTTATTCAACCATCCAGTTTCTTTTGTTATTTCTAAAGTTCTATCCCCTAATTGCACAATATGTTAAATCTTCTCAGTAATTATGATGCTACTTTGTTTGAGTTTTATCTACCCCACCTCCATCTGTTTATTATTGTATTTTAATTCATAGTTGTAATTTTATTAATTTGACCCTTAACCAGAAATTATTCTGGAACATTCTCGTCCATTTATTACAAATACACGAATGTACAGCCTAGTTGATGACTTCGTCGAAAAGAAAATTTTCTTCGCTGCAACTGTCTTTTTATTATTTGACGATGGTGTCTACTCATTGACTTAAGCACTCAATGTAGACAGAATGAGTTTAGGGGTTGGAATTCTGCACCAGCTAATTCAGGCTAGTCAACTCTTCGTCATCATCGTCGTGAGAATCAGCATTCACAAAGTATGTGTAGCTCATAGTCTGATACATGAGAAATATGTTTCGAGTAACTGAGTCTGATAAATACCCATCAGCAAATTATACAATTATAAAGAGATCCCTTCATCACAAATCAGATATGAAATGAAGAGTAGTCAATAACCGCAAGGTAAAGTGTCTTAGCAGATGGTGCACAGTATTGAGCTTTATAGAGAATCGGTATTTAGGCTGTTCACAGTCAAAACATTACCGTTTAATAACAGCTTTTAAAGGTTGTTTAAAAATCCTAAGAGGAGTAAGTGACCTATAATGTAAGGGTAGTTGTACAGTTGAAGGTAGAAGACACTGATTACACTAAAAGATGGTCTGATTTTCGGGGTATACTATAAATACAATACATTTTCAAGATGGAACAATTTGAACTTAGAGACAATGTAATCTATACTGAAATCTAGAAAATATGATGGAGAGCTGGTACTGCTGAGGACTTCCGAAAAAAAACTAGAATGACATAACTGTCCATATCTCATTGACTTTGACAGTTATTTATACCATGTTAACAAGTAGTGTTATTCATGGTTAATCTGACCTGTTCCTTATAACCTACCGGAAACAGGGAATCCCAACTTGCTTGATACAATTTGAGTCTATTAATAAGCACTTAATAGTGCTAGGATCAGATCACTGATCTGGAATGCAAGTGACAAGTATTTTATGTACTCAACGCTACCCCTCCCCACCTCATAATGGAAACTATCGTTTGGAATGTGTGGAATACTGATCCGACAAAATGATTTGGATGAACAGCGTTGAACTTTCATAAAACGATGAAGATGAGGCGCACACACACACACACACACAAATAGAAACTCACTTTACATTAACTGCTTCTAAATCGGCCCGAAGTAACTGTTTCACCTCTTTTTCAATTTTAGGCATATCTACAAAACGCTTTCTACGTGTCTTACGAAATCGTCTGTGTAGAACATTCTTCAGCGGTGGAGTTATCCCATGAAGATATTGAAATTCACGATTTTCATGACTACAAACAAAAACAAAAGAAAACAAGAGCATTATTATGAAACAAGAACTGCACGTGGAACAACTGCTACACCAATGTAGGCAGAAGGTTAGATGAATGTTAGATTATAGTCTGAGGAATTTCGCAGTGATTTTATAACACTTGAAGTACTACTACTACTGGACGTTTCTTTCAGATTTCTATGACATAAAAAGCTAATTGATCACTTCGCTTACTTTATAATAATACCAGTACTGAGTAGTGAATTCATGATACGTTATTTTATTTATTTATTTAAACGCAGAAAAACTTGGTACAATATGGCACCAAGAAAGATGCTCCACACAATATTGTGTGAGGGCTGAGATACTGCCCGGGCGCCCAGACCGAAGCAGGTGGTTGTCTTAAGGGACCACCCCCGAGCCTTTGACTTGGAGTCTAATCCGCAAGGCAGCGGAGCAGCGTCAGGAGCTGCGTTCCCATGGTTGCCGGTGACCCATATGGGTTCATACGCCATTTGATCCGATTGAATTCTGGAGCCCATGTACCCCATGGTAACTGCTTTTAGTCTAACCGCTATCCAAACAACCTTCCTGACATGGTAGGACCTGCAGGGACATGAGTCCCAGCCAGTTTAGCTTGTTGGGTCACTGCGGCATTCAAGCCCGACCACCACGGCAAGGTAGCAGTTATCGGTCGGGATACGCATATATAACGTCGGTGGTTCGGCGGTAAAACGCTAGCCAACCACGCCTCATTTGGTCGACGGTTCAATCCTCGACTGACGCACTCCAAAACCACTCTAAGCCAGTAGTGAGAACGGTAAACAGAGAAAGTTGGGCGTAAAGCTAGCAACCTCACCCTGTAGAAGTAAAACTACTGCTACCGAAACTTCAAAGCCCTATGTCCCACTCGGGATGAAAAGGAATAAATTTTTTAAAGAACGGGCATTTCCAGTTCGTAAGGATTTTTACTGAATTCAGTATAGATTTTGTCATGAATCGAGATAATTTAGAGAATTATTTCCCCCATAAATGACATAATACGATGGAAGATGGGTAGACTTTGATTTTCCTGTCGAAATGATCTCCTCACCTTTATAGCCTCTGCCAGGTATATCCTTTTCACTGCCTTTACGCGGCAGGGTGTTCCTCACAAAATTGAATGGGTGAATTCAAACGTCTGGCACCTACAAGTGGAGTAGTAAACATGCTGGTTTATCTAGGAGAGCTGGAAAACCCTGATTCCAAACCTATAGTGTACACTGGCTCCAGAATATGAAAGGATCAGATGGCATATGACCCAGTTTTAGCCACCGGAAACTATGAGAACACAGATTCTGATGTCGCTCCATTGCCTTGTGGATCAAACTTTGAGTTAAAAGTTGAGGGGGGTGTGAGACAGTCACCTGCTTGGATCTGGGCATCCGGGCAATATCCTAACCCTCGCACAAACTATGAAATTGTGTGGTGCATCTCTTTGTGCCCAAAATGTACCAAGTTTGTGTCTTAATAATAACGACGATGATAATAATAATAGAAAACTATTGAAACTCATAAAGTAGTGACAAATGCTTCGTCTTAGATGGGGACTCTTCGACGGTGTGCATCCCACCAAAGACCAATCCCAGGACGTTCACGTGAAGAGGTGAGCACGTCACGACTGAGCTACTAGGTTGGCATCCACTGAACACTAAATTCTGACTTCAGTAAAACCAAGTGGAAGCTTCACAATCTAGTGTCCCCACAGTACTAAGTATCATTGGTTGAGTGATCTTGACAAAAGAAATCTAAACCATTTACAATAGTGAAGACATATTCACTTGTTATCATAGTTCATATTCCCAAAACCTCTAATAGCCTTAATTAAATTTAACTGGATGTTTGTCCTTTGTAGTACCACTACACTTCTATTCTTCCCCATGTGTGACAACTTGAACTGATTCACACCTAAACAAAGTTCGAAGTTGAATTTGTCTCTTTCTTCCATCGTTCCCACCTATTTTATGATAAAATTTACCCTGAACGGATGAATTTTTAAATCAATCATTCAGGTCCAGAGGAATGAAACATTACTTGTTTCAAAAAAGATACTTTACGTGAGTCTGGATTTCAAGGAAGACTTAGCTTGTGATAACCTCAAGAGAAGAATTCCAGCAGCTTTAAAAAGAACATTTGTAGCAGCAACGCTAAGAGTAGTGTTCTCCAGTCATCCATTGTTCTGCAGAAGCCTTAAGGACAAGATCTCGCATCTGGCCACATATTCGTTCACCTGTTGTTGTGGTGCCAGGTACATTGGTCGTTCGAAGCATATCCTATCTAAAAGGGTTCAAGGACACTATCCCACCTAGTTGCAGAAACGTAGTAGTAGTAGTGGCTCTACAAAGAAGTGCCATAATCGAACATTTCGTTAACACCCATCATTGAATCTCAACAAACGCCTCCTTCAAAGTGATCTACAGAGTCAAGAATAACCTACCAAAGGCAATACGCTTTTGTCTCGTTTGTATTACTGAAGCCTTAGCCATTCAGTTGGAAAAAACAAGAATTATGCATACAAAAGAAAATCATTCAACCACTTCTACTATCATACTAACAAACTTGATTTCCACTCACTTGATGTCTGTGTGCTTGTTTTTTTTCTAACTCATTATAACATTTGTAATTTTTAAAACTCTTACATAATTCCATATTTTCATTTGTTTCTATGTGTCTCCTAATCACAATTCATTAATTAAATTATTCATCTTAGTACGTAACTCTATCACGCTTATTCAACTTCATTTACGTGTTGATCAACATTAATGACTATGTTTTTTGACAACGCAGCACCACTACCCTCTCACCAATCTTCACCCGCACCCCAACCCAGTTACATTTTGATTATTCATCACATTTCTGATATGTCTTCACAACAATAAATCTAATTTTTATTCTTATCAGACAAACCTAATGTACACATACGTACAAAAATAAGTACATATAATTGTGATTGTACAGTTAAGTGAATGAATTTGCTGCCGAAAAGAGACTCTTCGCCTAACTACATGTTTTGTTTCCGATAAAGTTCGTCTGAGTTGATAAAGTAAACCAATTAGATCGAAAAATTGAACTCAATACCAGGAATTCAAGAGTTATTTCGAAATTCTTTATGAAATAACTAGGCTTGATGTCAGGTGGTTGGAGGAACTCATCAGCAAGGTGTGTCTACAACCTCGAAGAAACTGATGTCCCCTTGGGGATTCGAACCCGTGTCAACTAATACTGCAGTCAGAGACATTGTCACTTAGCTTTCTGATATCATGTTTGACTATCTTTATTTCGAAACGTAAATCTATTAACAACACTTTTTATGTACTAAATTGAAGCTGTTTACAGGGTTTCGTTTAATAACTCAAAATGGCACTTATTTAACATTGCATACAGCTTTTCTTTTAGGCTTACTATCAATTGCATCTATTGTATGATGAAAAAGTAATCACCAGTATTCAACCAGATAAAAACAATTCAAGAGTCTATTTACGGTTTCTCATTTCCATTTTATCCTGTTCCCTGCATTCACTTTTACCTAGCTCCGCGATTGTATATAAGCTTTCATCCCCTCCGCATACACGACCTCCACAATGTCATCATTCAGGTATAATAGGGTGAGCAATATTGAAGTTAGGCGTCGAGTGCTAGGTAAGAAAGGGAAATCCATAGACGAGGTTGTGAAGTTACATCGATTGACTGAGATGGTTAACTCATGTTTTACGCATGCCTAGCCTAGCCATCCCCTTACTCAACAATGGGCAATCTTAGCTGACATAAGTTGGATCAGGTTGGAAAAGAGATAGCCAGTGGTGGTCAAACCAAAATATGGCTTCATTAGTCGATGAAATCCGCAATAGTTAGTTTAAGTCACGTAGGGAGGTGTAGACTTCCTTACTGGTTGGTTGGGGTCCTCGAGAAGGTAAACACTAATGAATACTGGAGACAATGGGTGATATGGCTGGCTGAAAATCATTTTCATTGGCTGGCGCAGATGCATCCACTCCTTGTGACTTTTAATACCCAATAAAACTACATTGTTCTTCGATATTACTATTCTGTTTGCCTCATATATCTGTTTACTGTCTCTATTTTGCATTTACTTTTACTTTATTCTCTAGCTTTGTGTGTTGAATGGATATATATATATATATACCAAGTTGCACAGTGAATGAATCAACTAACTGGATATCGTAAAACATTTTTTTTGAAAAAGAAGCTCCATTATAATACTCACCCAATATCAAAAGTTTTATTACGTGAACCTGGACGATTGTCTAAGTATGCAGCTGTACCACGAAGAGGACCAGTTTCATCTCCTTGAGTACATATCATCATTTGACAAATATCAGCTGTTTTATAAAAATTCTTTTTATCTGTTGTCTTTAATGATTCGATGATACATGGAAGATCCATAATCTGACCTTGATATACTTGACCATTATATCGAACAATTGTATGCCTCATATCTGGTTTAAATTCTATGGTGAAATTTTCCTAATTTGAGAAAATGCATGCCATCTCATTTATTAACAGTGGAGACAATTTAATGAGAAAAAAACTAGTACGAATAATCGTGACACTGAGGCTTATGGTGATATCCCAGGTAATCACTGTCAACGACTCAGGTGCACTCAATCTATTAGAGGTCTCAGAGGTCCCATTAGTCCCTCATTATTCCCTATGTAATTATTTCTTTTCTCACATATTTCTGCCTACTATATTTTCTCTGCATTTATTTCATTTACGTTTACATGTGGCAACTTGGAACTTATTTTAGTACGAGAATCTACGGTGAAAATTCAAATAACTTAGATAAGGAACTTTAGGGTCTGGCGAGTATCTCGTTTGAAGTTTATCAAACACAATTAATTGGAAATACTTAGATCTAATTACAACACTCAGTATTCATAATTGAAAATCTTTACTGTAGGCGCATAAGGACTTCTAGATTCGACCTACTTTAATGTTTTCTTTCCAACCTAAAAGAAATGGAGAGTCGATGAAGACGTTATGTATGATTTAAATTGGTATAGAATAAACAACAAGAGTCGCACCTTGACCATGGAAGTATTTCGTGTTAACTTTACTATTTTAAGCCTCATTTCCCCAAGATATTCTCAACCATTTTGATCTCATAAAATATTTTACAACACTTTTATGTGTATCAACCTGAAATGCTACGCTTTCGTGCAGTATTGCATCAATAATTCAGTTCCAGCTACTGAAATCGATAGTTTAGCAACGGGCCAGTTGAACTACTACTGCTTCTCTTGAAGACCAAACACTTATAAACACCAACTCTCGTAGATACACTCCAATAAATATATGCCACACGAACTAAACTACAGTAACTAGTTCACTATCCTTAGTATATATACCTATATATATTCATAAGAAACCGAAATAATGTCTTCTGAACAAACCTTGAAAGGTATTCCAGCCTCAATATCAGCTGCCAAATTTTGAGCGGCGAGAGTATCTGTCATTCGAAGAATGAACTGCTGTTCCAAATCATAGTTGGAATCCAACGGCAGTTTCGCTGTCATCCTTAAAATGTAGCACTTGACACAAATTACGTACGATATTTTCAATATCCAATTAAGAAAACGAAGTTCGATTACAGATACAAGCCTGTGAGTTTATGTTATTATTTTATTGCATGTCCGTTTGTTCGTATCCTTCTTGAAAACTGATTTGGGGCACAGAAACTAATTCTTCGGGAAGACAGTTTCATAATTTGAAAAACCAGCACTTTAGAGTTATAGTCCTAATGTGCAATACATAATGTCTTTTGACGATCTTGTGGCAGCCGTATGGTCTCTTGTCGCGCATTTTTCATTGTCCGTGTACGGTTCTCATTAATCTTCACCATTCCGAGGTGCTTTACCATGTAGAGGATATTTACTTCTTGGCTATTCAATATCCAATATCGTTTTTATGAGCTGGTATAAACCAGTTTGATTTCTTTGTACTCGCCTCTTGAATGTGAAGTAAAGGTTCCTGATCTTCGGTAAACTTCTGCGTAGCTCGTCTCGCCACTTGACTGTCGTAGCTTTGGTTGACTCCCAAAGGCGTAGTGCTGGGATTAATTATATGTGGTTTGTAGTATGAGGTGTGTTAAGACTGTCACCACTGTGAATGGATTTGGTCCTTTCACCAGTTAGTCCTCCGGTATCGTCATCAAAAGAAAATAGATAATAATAGCTATGATTAACAATCTGATGATACGCCCAAATGTAAATAGTTCAATGGAATTGCCAAATAAATCTAGCCAAAGTGTGCAGAGTACAAGCCCCTGAATACAAAAAATCCTCCAGCTTTTACACTAATGATAGTATTTTATTCCCACAAGGGTGGTTCAGGTGATATATGGTTGCACTATTCGAGCCTACATTTGCTTGAAATGCACGTCTGCAACTTCCACATGTGCCTGCGAACTACGGTTTGAGCCGAAAAATAAACAACAGAATTAACACCTTTTGTGTCTAGCTCTCACAAGTTTCGTACAATAAGGTTTCCGATGGTGGACACTAAGACAGTAATGGACATTAAGGGACGAGAGGGACTAGAGTGCCACAGTGGCATTCTGTGGTAATTTGGATCAATGCATAATTTCTTTGTGAAGAGACTCAACTGTACAGTCAGGACTAGAAGAGGCTGTCAACATATATGCATCTTGCTATTTGCATTTCCGACTGTAGTGTTTAAATATGAGTAGTCCAGTATGATGTTTGATCTTTATATCATTCTCGCTGCCCAGTTCCTCGTAAGGTAGACAACTACCCTGCCATATCTTTAGGATATTATGTTCGCTCTGTTTACAGGGAATTTCTGCAAATTCGTCAGGTATCAGTCAGGACTCTTAAATTGCAATAACATCCTGCCTGTTTTAGCTCACTCAGATTACCCAGCTCTGTTTATTTACTAAACAATTCCTGTTTGTGTAGCATACTATTGGTCCAGTCTTATACCTTCATCATCCAATCACGGAAGTTCAGGGATCGCGTGGCTTGCAACATGTACTAAGCGAAAACACTCCAATATGGGCAGTTGTGTAAAAATAAGATGCCATTTAACTTATTCAAGTGATTTAGTCAGTCTTCTGGAACTGTAGAGAGTAAGATCCGCATTGAGGATGAGGATCACCAGGTTATCAGTTAGTAAGACCGCTTGGAATTCTTCGAGCTCGCTTCTGGTTGTGTTCAACCAGAAATAATGCTTACGATTGTTGTGTGCCTATATATCCTGTTAGACCTGCGCTTTAACCACACCACCTGCTGACTCTTTGATCTGACCCACCTAACCTTAAATCGAGGCTGCTTTTGAAACTACCTTAATTAGTGAAGGGAAAATGTAACATCGACGGCTGCTCAAAGGTGTATTTATTAACGACGATGTGGAAAAAGCATAGAGATGCACTGTCAGTGGACGTGAACATTGAACGTTTGTTTTATTGGAACTGGCAACCACTGGTGGGCAATTCGAAGGCGCGAATGGAACGATCGCTTGCAAGTTGGAAGAAGGTGGAAAGAACACGAATAAAAGTACCTTATAACTTCATTTGTACTTAACATTTGTTTGCAGACTTTGTATTTTGTCTCGCTTTAATTGCCAAACAATATAATTTCGTTCGAGGAATACTGTTTTGGATTTAAAGTTGAGATATATACATAGTATTTATCGGTTCAAAACGAAAACGTCTTCACTAGAATAGGAACTTAGGGCTAAGTTCCTTGACATGCACAGTCACGAACTTCTCTTATCCTCCACAAATAAATATGGATTGTGTCTGTCAGTCTTTTAGTTAAAGGCGAATATCTAGAAGTTTGCAGGTTGTCTAATTGCAGAGGCAGGTTTTTGGTCGAGTCTTTGTACACTGTTTATAGTGAAGCCCACTGCCGTCACATCGTGTAGCTTTCGTGCTTCCAGTTTCTTAAGGTCATATTGTGCTCGAGCCTAGTCACCAAATCTGACTCACTGTATTCATCTTATTTATGCCAAATGACTGAGCTGAATGAGATAAAGCTTGTTGTGGCTGACACTCTTGCGTTGGATGGTTGACTTAATTTACCCTGACAAAAACTCTTGCTTCGCCTCCCGAGGAGAACAGCTCTATGCTGTCCACTGGGTTTCCCTTATGCACTTGATTTCGGTAGTAACTGCTCGTCATCCTCTTGATTCCTATGGGTGTCTATGTCCACAATATAAATGATTTTCGCTAATGTGGGCGGCTGTGCTACATCTTCTCCCCTGAAGAGTATACAGCACCTTGCAGCTGCAGTCCCTCGATAAGTTCCAGTACATTCTGGCATCTGATTTTGCAGCGACGCTGACGAGAACACTAGTATCCAGTCTGCAATAATTCTTCTTCTAAGAGCTGTGAACACTTTCGAGAAGTTTATGTGCTGCATTCAACATCACTGTTGCAGCATCTATAAGGTAACTTATGAAATGGATCACTGAAATCACCCGAATTTCAGTCATCCCACCTTCAAAGATCAAACAATTTATCAATATCAGTGGAGACAGCAGCGAACACTTTACGAAAAATCGGAATTTTAGGTGATGAGTGCGTGGTGACGGTACTAGTGTGAGTTAATACATATTCATAAAGCCCCTATACTCATTCACTCGGACAGATAACCCCTAAATATCTGTCGTAGAAGAAGAACTGGTTAATGTGAGCACCACTGGGCAACCAGGGGGTTATTTAGAAACAAAATCTAACGAAATCATAACCAAAATTACCAAACAAAGATTAGTAATATTGTACACCAGTGTTCTTCGTAAGATGTTATCTTATAAATCACGGCAGACAAAATGTGGAGCAGTAAACGAATATCTAAACAGAACGAAGGGAATTCGCCATAAACGCTTTCTGAAATAACTGCAGCCGGAAGAAAACTCTTCGGATTCAGAACACTATTTTATGCATAGAATAACCAACTCGATTTCAATGAAAGCGGTGTCGAAAAACAGGCGGTAAGTCGTAGATTTATTGCTCAACCCAGTATAAGCCAGTATAGTAAGTTAATTACACAGCAGCTTGATCATGCGACACACAGTTGCTTATTGTCAATACACTAAAGAATCTACAAATAACGTAAATATAGTGTACACTGATGTTTATGTTCGTATTTGCTCTCCTTCTCTGTCAATGAGCAAATGTCTAAGCCACGACAGGAATTGTTGCCTGTAATGTACATGAAGCTGTGTCTTTGAATCTCATTCTTCGAACGTACGATTGGCATTTGGCTTCTTTGTTAATATATGCTGTAAAGGGATGTTGTAGGCCCTTGTATTTGTGGGGTTCAAAGAATCCAGTCAGTTAGTCTGCTTCGATCATCTTGAACTCGTTCCCAATTTGTTTTGACTTTATATGGCGCTAACATTTGTTGTGTGGCTACCAATTCTGGTGGAACTGATCTGTAGCTGCACCACGTGCTGATTATTTAGCCTGACCCACGTATTCTGCTGGCTGTGCTGCTCTTAACACCATCCCGACTGGGGAAGGGAGAAAGTAACACTGATATCTGCTGAAAGGTGGATTAGTTGACGATGATTCGCAGAGTGTACAAGTAAATGGGCATACCGCAATGAAGCTGCCAATCCTTGTCGCTGAAAAGTTATCTTGACCACAATATCTCTCAATCCGCACAGATAAACAAATTGATCGTTGACGGTGAATGCTGAGGTTCAGCTGTGTTGACGAGTCTCCCACTACAGAGTATATCTTGGCACACATTTTATTGTGGGTCACAACGCTGCCTAAATGGCGTAATACTTTAAATTTATTGCATACGTCTTCAACAGATTTTTAAACCATTGTTAAATCGTTATCTCTACGACGTGCATTTTCAGTCAATGCTTCACTTAGGTTAGATGGAATAACTTGAGGCGTGTTTGCGCAAAGCTGATGATTGTTGGAGAGTATTATTTATCAAGGAAGCCATATGTCCCAGTCGGAATCCAGGGGAATGGTAGTAATTACTTCTCAATCTTTCTGCAGTACTCACACTTAACCAATAAGACAGAAGAATTGCTGAAATCCCCCCAAAGTGTGTTGATGTTGCTAGAAATACTGTCGTCCAATCAAAGTAAATGATACAGAGGTAAACAGTCATGAATACGGGAACATAAAGTCAGACTTTGCAGAGATGTCTTAGGTGGGGTAATTTGCCAAGGAAATAAACCGGAAGATTGAGTAGAAGACCCCACAAATGGAGACTATATATTAACAGAATATATTCCGAGTAAAATATGGACATGTGAAAGTTGTGCGAAACGTAGCTAATTTCTAAAAGAGTACTGAACTACTTTTTTCATGTACAGTATGGCCAGGAGACTAACAAAAATTAGGACATAGAGCCTGAATTGATATAATATTTTGGCTGCCAACGGTGCACCAGTAATAAATTGATGTCCATTTCTGGTACTAGCACCACTTAGTGGAATCTGTAAGGAATGAGATCAGTTTAATTTTCTTGGGACAAGTACTGATTCTCGTTAAGTAAGTTCAAATAAGTCAAACCTAAATTCAGGAGTATTGTTGGTACCATATAGAGCACCAGCTAAAAAACTTTCTTTCTTAGTTAGCCAGTTAACGCGTGCCTTATGAAATGTGTACATTGAATTTTGTTCGGATATAATCGTAGTGAACCTAGTTTTTCCCAAGTGAAACAAGTTATTACGTTACGTAGCCGCAGATTTTACTTCTTTTAGGTTGGACAAAAAAGGATAGACAAAAATCTAATCAGTCAAAGAGGGAAAACTATGGTGTTATTTATTCCTAAAGTGAATACTAACTGAAGAAAAGGTTAAAAAGATAGTGGATCCTGTAGGCCCTTATGCACCCTTGTTCTAGCACCCCATGGATTCGAGAAAACTGCCAAAAGAGTGGAAGAGAGCCATCATTTCTCCGATCTTCAAAGATGGAAACAGGCAAAATGCCACCAATTATAGACCAGTAGCCCTACTACCAGTGGTGTTAGAAGTACTGAAAAGTTATTGACGATCACATCAGGGAGCACCTTAATAGGACCAATAGACTCCATGATTACGATACTGTAATTTGGAAATCGGAGGAATCGAAGAAATTAGATCCAGCTGCCCGATATGCTGATGATCTCGAAATAGTCAGCTCCCTCATCCGTGTAATACTTCCTGGAAAAACAAATGGGGTTCACATAAGGAAAGTCATCAGAATCCGCAAACGAATTGCCGATGCAACGGAAAGTTCCTCACGACTGCTCAAGATAGTACTGGGGAACGAGATAGAGAAAGATATTATTCTCAACAACGCATTCAAGATCAAGGACAAAAAGATGAGAATTAGGCTAGACTGGTCTCTGGAAGATAGAATTAGGAGAAGAGAAGCCGTGGCTGAATTAGATGTCCAATTAGAAAAAGGTGAAAAAGACCTCAAACTGTTGGGTTTTCGAGTAGTGAGATCTTGGAAACCTATGTTGCCTAGACCTGTGTTCACAAGTCGAGTGAACACGTAGGTCTCTCAGTATGCTATACTAACGCTTATAGAGCCAGGAATAAGCTTCCTGAACTAGGAGTGTTGTTTGAGGAACTACAACCTGATGTGATTGCTATCACCGAGACATGGTTGTTAGTGGCTGTGGACTTAACTCCACTCATACCTGGGTATATCTGCATTAGAGCAGAGAGAGTAAGTAGTCGAAAAGGTGGGGGGTTGCTCAATACATCCGGGATGACACAGGAATTAGATCGACGTTGTCGGAAGTTCATGACAGCGGCACCAGTGAGTCCGCAAGCTGCATCATTAACTTGAACAAGGGCACTGTGACAGTTGGGGTTATTTATAGAAGTCCTACCAGCCAAGCTGACGATTTCGCTCTAAATCACCTCGGGACGTGGAGTAGTAGGAACAGGTGTCTAATAGCAATGAATTTAATGCCCTACATATTAACTGGGGGGAATTAACATCAACTACTTCGTAAAGTTGTTTCAACAGGGAACTCATACTGGTAGTGCTTGAATGCGCACTTGTGCAGCATATAGATGCGGCAACACGATACCACCCTGAACATGATCCGTCCACTCTAGACTTGGTGCTAACACACCAGAAGGAGGATGTTGTTAACACTAGGTGCCTGGTGCCACTAGGCAGTAGTGACCATATAGTTATTACTTTTATGTTTAGGGTCCACGCTGTCATGCATAGGTCAACAGCCGCTCGTCCAAACGTTTGGAAAGCAAATATACCTGCAATCCGAAATGCAGCAGCCCTAGCTGATTGGCCTTTTGATACACACAAGACTGTCGAGGAGGCTTGGATGGGATTTAGGAATACACTAGATTGCGTCACTGCACCCTTTGTACCTTGGTCTACGCCTCGAAAATTATCTCATAAACCACCTTGGATTAGCAATGAAATAAGGAGGTTACTAAGAAAACGAAAGAACTTATGGGACCGGTTCGCTGTGACTGGGAGGGATGAGTTTCGGGTAGAATACCGCAAAGTTCGAAACCTTTGCAAGTATGAGATCGACAAAAGTCGTACAGAGTATGAGAGACAGTTAGTACTGGATTGTTTGCATTATCCAGAAAGACTGTTCTCGTATATCAAACGCAGGACTAAAACTAGCAGTGGCATACCGTCCCTCATAAGCAACACAGAAGAGGCTGCAGAATCAGACGAAACAAACGCTGAGGAGCTCTCCGAATATTTCTGTGATGTTTTCTCGCCTAATTGTACCACCCAGGGGTGTAGCGAGGTAACTGATGTAGCCACTAAAATGCCCCCAATTGTGGTAGATGATGCAATGGTTCTGAAACTACTGCCTAAGTTAAAGTCAGGTAAATCACCTGGACCAGACGGACTTCACCCTAGATTGCTAATCTCCCTGGCGGATATAATATACATTCCACTTACGGAGGTTTTTCACATGTCTTAGACCTAAGCTAGGGTACCCAGGGACTGGAAAGATGCTTTTATAAGCCCCATCTTCAAAGGCAGTTAGTATCTAACCACCAGCCTGTAAGTCTGACCTGCATTATAGCAAAGGTGTTAGAAAAACTCATAAGGGACCAGTGCTTAGTTCATATGGAAAAACACGGCTTACTGGCAGTGGAACAACATGGATTCCGACCAGGACGATCCTGCATGACAAACTTACTGTTAGCAAAGGAAGATTGGGTCGAGGCCAGGGATAAAAACCATCTACTGGACGTTGTATTGATTGATCTTAGTAAAGCATTCGATAAGGTATCCCGTTTAGGTCTTCCTAGTAAACTTAAACATTTTGGATTAGAGCAACGCTTATGCGAGTGGTTTAGTGACCACCTGATGGATAGGAGACAGAAGGTAAGGGTTAATGGTGTACTGTCAGGGTGGAAAGCAGTACTAAGTGGAGTACCTCAAGGAACTGTACTTGGCCCCCTGCTATTTTTATTATACGTAAATGAAGTGCCAAAAATTCTTATCTCATCTTCCTTACTATTTGCGGACGTTATTAAGATATGGAAAACCGTAAATAGTAGCGATGATAGGTTGGTACTACAAAACGATCTGTATAAATTAGCCGAACGGGCTAACCTTTGGAGTCTGGAAATTAATTCCAAGAAAAGCGAGGTAATGCACCTAGGTCAGAAGTCTTACACGTCATACTCCGTGGGGGACACAGAACTGCCAGATGTTAGGGAACAAAAGAGTTCAGAGGGTAGGAACCAAATTAGTTAGTGGTATCTCACACCTTCCTTATGATAAGAGGATGGAGCATTTAAATCTCTTCCCATTATCATACCGAAGGGGGAGAGGCGATTTAATTTTGGCTTACCGTATATTAAGGAATGATTTTAGGGATTGACCTTTCAAGTATTTTCTCTCCCTCTAGGATACATCTACGGGGTCACCAGAAGAAGGTGCTCAAACCGAGGTCGAACAAAATACGTTTGGAGTTTAGATTCTCTCACAGAGTGGTCAACGACTGGAACTCCTTACCTAATTCAGTAGTAACAGCTCCATCGGTGAACGCTTTCAAAGAGAAACTGGATCTCTGCAGAGATATATATCGCGAGGATTAACATAGGCAACAAGAGCCTTCTATCCTTATAATCTGAGTCTGAAGAGGGAGATTTGTCCTGTCAAGGTCACATAACAAGACGAAGTAAGATTGGTTGGATAAGAGACTTCCCACATTTGCCTATTCATCGGCTGAAGACATAATTAGTAAACTAGCTTATTACATTTACATGTGGATGAAAAGTATATTTACAGATTATTTCTCTTTGAAGCACTGTGATAATATACCTTAGTCCCTTGTTGTTGTATCTGCAGCAACTCTGCTGGTGCTGGCTAGTGCGATGCATTCTTGATTTCTCATACGCAAGTTATGAGCTTGCGAGATGCAGCTAAGAGTACTAAGTATTGACCCTAGTGTACTAAAGCCGTCTCGTCTGAAGTAACTTGTTGGCAGTCTCTTCAGTTTTGAGCAATCTTTTGGTTGAATAAATTGCTTCTTAAATTTTGAGACTTTTGTTGTTTGCAATGAGATCACAGCGTCTAAGCATGTGTTTGATTTATAGTAAAAGATGTCTAAAGCTTTCGAGAGGTTATCAGTATAGAGGTACTCTTTCCATTCTGGGGATCTTAATATTGATTTCACTAAAGTCCAGTTTGTCTTAATGTAGTAGGGGTAGGGGCTGTATTCCTACTCAGTGGAAGTGGCAGAGCACACAGCACTGTTTTATAGTCGCTCCCTGAAAACTCAGAACCTACTGGGGTAGAAAGGGGACCTATATTGTGGCAGATACGTTGTCACCTCTTGTAGGGATAGTGACAGTTTGTTTCCAGCTAAGTATATCCAGTGTGCCTAAGAGCTTGTCATATTTAGTTGGCCCTGTTAATAAATCCCAGTTGATTTTGGGTAGGTTGAAGTCTCCACATAGGATCTTATGATCGTATTGTAAGGTGGATAGTTGCTCCAGAGTATTAATGAGTTGGGTCTCGTAATTTCTAAAGGTGCCAGGTGCTCTGTAGGTGCATACAATTAATACTACTGCGTTATTTAAGTGTACGTTAACCCGTAGATTTTCATGCTGGTTAAGTTTACTACTTTCTAGCTGTGATACAGTAAGTGCATTCAGAAAGTACATGAGACAACCCCCTCCCTTACCACCTTCCCTGTCACACCGAAAGTGCGTGTAGTTATCTAAGCTTATCTCAATCCAGTATGTTCGAATTGCACCAAGATTCAGTGATGACAATGATAGAGGGATTGTATATTACTGTGAGTGCTCTGAGCATCGGTAGTTTATTTAGAACAGATCTAGCATTTATGAGGATCAGGTAAAGATGAGATTTGAAATAGCATTTGAAGTATTTAAGCTCGTTAATCAGTCCCGAATATGGTTCAACACCCAGTAATACTGTTTGACGTGACGGCGCTATGTCATGAGGAGTTTCATCATCATGCTCATCTATGTATATCGAGTTTGCGTGTGCTGTTTTCGGTGAAGAATTAGGAGTTGGAGTGCTGTATCTGCTATAGGCTGAGGCATTTTTATTTTTAGTTAGGCTAGAAACGTGGATAAGGCTCTTTATTTGACCTATATTTGTGCAAGTATCAAGTGTGCTTAATGGATGCGGATGCACGAGACTGTTTCTGTTTTCACGCAAGGGGGAGCCAGCACTAGTGGTTTAGGAGTGTTAACATCCCTACCAGCTGTTTTTTCAACGCTGACAGGGACGCAGGGGATAAAAAATGATTGAGACCTTGTGATGACGATGGCTTATTATTCCACCTATTGTTTGGTACTAGTTGTGTCCTTGTATGGATTTCGTTTGTACTGCATTGTGGGTTAGTTCCTAGCATACTTGTACCATATATCCGATCAAAACTTGTTTGTGTGCCATACTCTGAAGACCCTGAGTTGTTGGTGTTCGAGTTCTGACTATTGCCACTTGTACTAGTGAGGGTGGCATTGTTGTGACGTTGGTTATCAGTGTGTGCCATGGTGCGATTTGGCACGTTGTGAGCGCTAATACTATTGGCCGTGGGAAGTGTGGGCTTATTTATACTGCCATGATTTGGGTTCTTATTTTCATGATCATGTACATTTTTCTCAGGAGCATTTGGTGAGTGAAGTTGATTTTTTGGTGCCAGTGACATATTCTGAATAGGTTTGTTAACTGTTTTCTCTTTACCAATGGAGTTGTGTCTACGAGAGGATAATATCGACTTTCAAGGACGCTTTAACTTTTTTCCGGGATTATTTAGTGACATGTCTATATCTACGGTGATAGGTGGTGTAGTTTTATTGGCTATTTCATTACAATTTAGTGGCCTTCCGGTTGGTGTCGCTATCCGAGGGGATAATTCTGTGTGGTTTGAGAGGGGTGGTGCGGTGGGTTCTACGGTATCTCTCAAAGGGTTGTGTATGATGGCTGCTTGTGATGTCATATTATTTATCCCACAATTAGGCTCAGTGAGATAATTATATGCACGCCTTTCTATGACTGTCTTGTCTACCGCAACCTTTATTAGTTTGTAGTTTCTGGCTTGCGATAGGGTGTGTTGGGAGTGGATGAATTTTCTGGTCTCTGCCGGTGTTTCGAACTGAAGACGAATAGGACAACACTTTTCATTTTGACTCTTCTTCAGCCTGTAGCACTTAGTCTTGGAGTTGGGCATTTTCGCCTCACTAAGTAGGATGCGCTGTACCCTTTTTAGTGCCTCATTGTCCGGAACGTTGTAGACAATAGCATTTAGTTTAGCATCTAGTCGTTTTGTTACTTCTGTAGTAACAAAGTTAATGAGGTTATCCACCTTAGATATCGATTCATTGTCAAGTTTGTTAAGGTCTACAGTTTTCATGAGAATAGTTAAGGTGTCAGTTTACAGACCTGCGATCTGATATCACTGATCTGATCTGATAAATTGGATATTTTGGCATTGGTATCAGAAATTCCAGGATCTACTGACTTATTGTTTTTTATTTCCCTTAACTTGGCCTTAAGTTCTCCTATAGACAACTTTAGAAGTTCTATTCCTGAAGATAGTACTGAAACAGAGCTCGATGGCTGGAGTTTTTCGATAAGCACATAAAGTGTAGGGATGGGTTCTGTATGAGCAGAGGGTACTGAATTTTTAGGAGTGGTGCTGACACTAGCTGTCAGTACAGTTTTATCGTCAGTTCCATCTAAACGTTTACGGGCATACGAGTGAGTTATTTGGCTTACTGTAACAGTTTGTAGGGAGTATGTTGCTTGATTTGGCAATCAAAGACGTAAAATTGGTCACCAGATTTTCAGGGGATTGGGTTCGTTGCTTTTTACTTTGATTAACCATAGCTATTTGATATGAGAGCTAATGGTTACAGGTATGAAAGTAGTATAGTACTTGTGCAAGGATTACAACAAGATAAATTTTATGTAAGGAATCACGCAAAAATGTTACGCAAACGTTGAACGTACCGCGTCAAGATGAGTTTGAAAGTTGAAACTCTAGACTAACTAATTTATATGAAATGAAAAATAAACTAAATGGCATACAACTAGATAATGATGAAACAATGGTTAGTTTTGATATAACCAGTCTTTATACTAATATACCAGCCAATATGGCCTTAGAAGCAGTTAAAAAAGAACTAACTGCGAATCCTGAACTCAAGGCAAAATATATAGACAGACAGAAGGTGTAGCAATGGGATATCCCCCATCGTAGCAGACATGTTTATGGACAGCTGGGAAAATAGTGTTCTTAATACATTTAATCCTACTGCAAAAACATGGTGAAGATATGTGGATGACACTTTCACAGTGTTAAAAACAGAACATATCTCTAGCTTCTTGACACATATAAACCCACTAGCAGAGGGAATAAAATTCACATTTGAATCCGAAAATGAACAAGGAGAATTAGCTGTTAGACTGTAAAATAAAACGAATAGAAGAAGGCATACTACACACTAGTGTTAATGAAAAGCAACGCATTCTAATATATATTTAGATTTTAATTCGTCTCATCTATTAACTTTTAAGGCAGGCTTGGTTAAGTGTCTAACAAACCGAGCCATAGCACTAAGTAGCACAAAAAAAGACCTAAACGACGAAATAAAACAGACAGAAGAAGCGTTGGTGTTGAATAACTATCCTATAAAATTCACTAGGAAGATAACTAAAGGCCAAAAACAAAATAAAAGTAATTGTGGAACTAGTAATGATAACATAATTAAGACGGAATATAAGTCATCCACTGTAATATCATATAAGGAGGGGACATCTGAGACCCTACGTAGGATTCCTAACAAAGCAGGAATTAGGGGGGCATTCAAACCTACAAACTCACCCAGAGACAAGCTCTGCAGGTTAAAGGACCATGCTGACCCGATTAGACAAAATAATATAATTTACAAAATACCCTGCAATGACTGTGAGGTCAACTACATAGGTCAAACTAGTAGGCTACGGGTAGTCAGATTGTCTGTGGGAACATAGGAATTTAGCTAAGGTAAGAATGGTTGACCCCACTAGTGAAGATAAGTAATTTAGAAAAAAGCCCAGCACTACATTGCACTGCATGCATTAACACACAACCACACAATTGGGTGGGTGGGACAGAGTCAAAATTCTAAAAAGTAATATAGATAGGTGGAGAGCAAGAGAGATTGATTACTGAATCCTTGTTCACCGAGTGAATCTACACCCAACATATGCAACAGAAATGACTCAATGCAAATATCAGAAATATGGAAGATATTATTACCGCCGGTCAAATCAGAAGAGGATAATATATAATCTCAAAATTCTATTTCAATTCAAGCACATCACAACATTCTAAGAAGTAACTTATTATGATTATAGAAACACTCGTCTCATCTGATTGTAATTGATCAATAACACTCGTATTATTATTATTTCTGAATGTACATTATCTCATATTGAATTTTATTCCAATGTCTAATCGATTCCACACATGTATACAAATGAAGGAAAAAGTTGTGTGAGTAACTTGATATGATTATGAGCAATAGTGTATGCTCGAAACGTCATCAGTTAATATTACTGTACAACACTGTGTGATTTATCAAAATAAAATCTTATCCATAATGGAGTTATGCTCTTCCACAGTGCCCAAGTTTTATACTTATATCAATGAGGATGGAGCATTTAAATCTCTTCCCATTATCATACCGAAGGGGGAGAGGCGATTTAATTTTGGCTTACCGTATATTAAGGAATGATTTTAGGGATTGACCTTTCAAGTATTTTCTCTCCCTCTAGGATACATCTACGGGGTCACCAGAAGAAGGTGCTCAAACCGAGGTCGAACAAAATACGTTTGGAGTTTAGATTCTCTCACAGAGTGGTCAACGACTGGAACTCCTTACCTAATTCAGTAGTAACAGCTCCATCGGTGAACGCTTTCAAAGAGAAACTGGATCTCTGCAGAGATATATATCGCGAGGATTAACATAGGCAACAAGAGCCTTCTATCCTTATAATCTGAGTCTGAAGAGGGAGATTTGTCCTGTCAAGGTCACATAACAAGACGAAGTAAGATTGGTTGGATAAGAGACTTCCCACATTTGCCTATTCATCGGCTGAAGACATAATTAGTAAACTAGCTTATTACATTTACATGTGGATGAAAAGTATATTTACAGATTATTTCTCTTTGAAGCACTGTGATAATATACCTTAGTCCCTTGTTGTTGTATCTGCAGCAAACCGAAACAGATTTTGTTTGCTTATGCAACCATATAAGTGGGAATTGTAAGCCTTCAGTTTATTTTCCGTTCTTTCTGAAGGACTTCTGGCTGCACACCGCGCAATTTTAGTAATTTCCTTTAATTCTGATATTCTTTATTATTGTACTGACTATCAGGCTTCTTCAGGTGAATAGCCACTTCCCAAGACTCCACCCTTAGGTTGAAAATGAAAGCTTCTTTTGTATTTTGGTTTTTATCGGCTCTCATAGGCTTCTGTAAATCTTAATTTCACAATATATAATACAAGTCTTTTGTCAAAGTTATATACCTATTCTTCCAAGTAGTATTCTTGAGACGAACTAAGTTTGTCATTGTTCCACCAGGAAAGCACTATTCATCCTTCCAATGACTCGATTATTAACATGAATACGAAAATCCTAGGCAAAATATAATTGCAAGTTTAATTTTTAAAATATGTTGCTGGTCAAGAGTACAAATTGTTGCATTGGTTGTCTAAGGTTGTTCGTAGTCGAAGTTATTCTTTATCTTTGTGGATGTATCTGTGGGAATTCAAACATCCACGTTTGATCGTACTGAAACTGAACTCACAGAGATATTTCTGATGGGAAACGCTAAAAGGGTCTGAATAATTTAAGTGACACCGGTGCATTCTTTATAATATTTCTGTTCACCTCTCAAGCTTAAGTCATTCAGAACTCTTTTTAACCGATGCACTAAGTGGTTGTGGGAGTAGCGAATTAATCATTATCAGTCTTCATAGCCATGCATACTGAACTGCTAGGATTCTTAGAGAATAGTCATAGATAATTCACAGAGGCTTCACATTTTCGTCGTTGACCTCATATTGTGTGTAAGTTAGGCAAAGAGTGCTAAGTATAATGAGTGGGTAGGTCGAGTAAGTTATGGATCTCTAAGGCATGTGGAGGCTGAGGAATGCGTCACGTGTGTATGCTTACCATTTGCCTATACAGTAATATCAGAGGAAATAGAATTAAGTTGTAAAAACGTTTAGAATGACCAAAACAAGGAACGTTGCTAATCCCTGAAGCTGCCAACTGTCAGTCTCAGACACATTTAGTTAGTTTGACTAGACATTCTAATTGATGTCTTAGGATGGAGACTATTCACACAGATGCAGCGATGATTTATTCTCTTTTTGATTGGAGCATCCTGTTTATTTGTTTCTTTATTTTTATCGTACGACGTCTGATTAAAGTAATTCCTCTGCCTCCTACTTGATGTTCAGATTTATTGGGATAGTTTATATCACAGCACAGTTATGCTTGGCTATATGATCATATCTGTCTATCTGCACTACGATACCTGAAGTGAAAATAAAAGAAGTAGGGAAAGTCAAATAAACTACAATGCGTAGTAATGATAATGAATAAGCCAAGTAGATTTGACGGTGTTGTCGAATTCAAGGATTCCACCAATCAAGAAGACAAGACAAATAAAGTACCTTTAAGTATAAGACCCTTGACGCAATGACTTTATGCTGAAGAATGTGCACGCCGAGCCATCTTCCTCAACGGGCAATGTTAACCGACATAGGATTAAGTTGAAAAGAGTTGGAGGTGGTCAAATCAGAAGCCTTCATCAGTTCACGAAGTCTTAGACTGTTACTTTGGGCCACGTAGGGAGGTGTAGGCTGTCTGATTAAGGTCCTCGGGATGATAGGAACCAATGGCTGGAGGAGGTTGATGCTGCGTGGAAAGTGGCCACTTTAACTGCTGCACTTCTGTACTTAGTTCTGTGTTGAAACTCAGCGTCAGTCAGTTAGTGAAGAATGCTTGATCTTAAAAATACAACACGTATCTAAATGAACAACTATTAAACACATTAAACATCATCTAACAAAGTCGGCAAGCTACACCTCTTTGTTGTTAAAGTATGCGTGTAACTTGATTTTTTCATCAAGCACTCATAGTGAAGCATTTCTTTTCGAATGTATTAGTTGGTTGCACACAAAGTTTTATTTTTTCTACATCCTTAAGCTCATCTTTAGGCTTTATGCTGGTGAAGAATGTCAATATTTCAGTATCTAGTTTCATATATTGACGTGTGTAGACGCATTTGGGCATTTTGGCGGCTAATCGTCTTTGACAAACTTTCACCAGTCTCTTGGTGAAGTAAATCCTTGCCGAATCATTACACTTCATGCACGACAATCAGGTTTCAGAGGAAAATAAACTGAAAGGGTACGGTTTTATGTAAAAAGTAGGCAACAGGGAATTCTGTTATCCACAGGGAGTGTGTTCAGACACTACACTTTTTGAGAGAGGGATGGGAAGATAGTGTCGTTTTCATGTTTGTTATGTTTCTTGGTTCATTTTCCTCTGTTTAAACATTATTATTGATATATTATTGTTCTTCTGTTACAGATCAATGTTTCATGTGGGGAAAATTTTGTATTCATACATTTCCCGGCCATCAGTACGACTGTTGAGTTCTTTTCAGAGTACACAAAATCCAGTCAATTTATATCCAAATTCTGATGCAAATGCTGTTTTCAAAAAGCCTGTTGAACCGAGTATTGTAAGTCTGTTGTAATTCATATTTACTAACCGTCCTAATTTTTCTTTCATTTTTCTTGTCTTGTTTAGAACCAGGAATCATTTAGTGGTTATATTCCTCTGAGTATGATTCAATTTCTGTGTCAATATTTTAATAATTTTGTTGCTAGATGAACTCCAAATTTCTTACATGTATTCAGGTGGTCCAGGGGGTCAACATGTAAATAAAAGTAAGTTTTTTTGGAAAAATAGTCTTTTATATATATACCTTATTTAATTAAATTAAAATAATCTTGATTTATTTTAACTGTTACCACTTTTGGATTTGATAGTGAAGCATGAAATTCTACCTAAATGTCTCGTATGTCAATGGTAGAATGTGACGTGACAAGTGGTCTGGGTCCGATCCTTGGACTACTCATTCCTTAGCCTCGCTTAGCTTGGTTGTCCACCCCTGTAGAGAGAGAAGGTTGGAGATGAGGCCAACAACCTTGCTGTGTAAAACCAACACTATCGCTAATGAGACTTAAAAACTGAAACTTGAAGCCCTATGTTCCACGTGAAACATTAAGGAATAGACAAATAAAGCCCCTTACAAATGAGCATTTCCCCAGGGTTCTCATTCACTTACCAATGCCATAATGTCTTTTGAAATGAATACTCTAGATGGCTAAGAGACTTTTCTTGAAATATACGTTAATATCTACTATTTAAAGACTATGATTCATCGGAAACACCGCATAACTTGTTTCTTTATTACATATGAACACGTCTGTGATTACTTTAATTATTTACTCCTGTTAGTGATTCGCCTTTATTATTGTTAGACGTGTAGATGTTACATCCAGAATTTTACTTTATGCTTCAGATGTGTATTTGTTAAAAGGTTGGCTCTTTAATAGTCTCAGCTTTATTCACAGATGGACAAATGACTACGAATCTGTGACACACATTCCTCATCCCATCCACACATCTTACCTTCCCTACGCCGAGTATTTGTTCATCAAAATATCGAAGACAAAGTTCCATGATTAGCAACATCAAATTTTGTATGTCAACATACTTGCTACTGTGAGGTTGAGTACATTGGTCGCACCAGTATGATATCGTCTAGGCGTGTTTGTGAACATCAAAAGAATAAATTAGATCGATTCTTGAGCATCTTGTTCTTAGACATAATTTTGCATGGTAAGATCAAACAAGGTGTCAATTGGTGGATGGTGACTAGCAGTGAAATTCAGGATAATGCGCATTTTGTCCTATTTGGGGCTCGTCAACTGGATGTACATGCACTCCTCAGTGAGTGATCATGTTCCCACCGAGGCTTGAACCCAGTGCCCATAGTTTCAAACTCCAAAGCGTTATCCACTAGACCACTTGGGCCACGAGAGCCACCTCTTGTACAACAGATCATATTAATTATTTAATTCAATTTTTTTTACTTCGGTCCAATCAATCTACAGGAAAATGTAAAATCGAATTCAATAATGAGACGAGGTGTTTGAGGAATTTTTGCTATATTTTCTGTTTACAGTTGAATCTCTGGCTATTCATAATGAAAAGGCGATCTGTTCAATCCTTTTTGCCACCACCATTTCGTGTTGTACAATAATTTTTTTTATGTAATTAACAAAAATACGTATTTGTTAAGTTTACTATCGTTGTTAAATAGTTGGAGAAAGGCAATCGACAGAAAGCCTTGGGTCTAGGTTTCGTGGTTGTTAGTACTCGTCAGTATATATCTGCTCTACCGTGAAGGAACTCATGTGTATAATATAATAAATTTATTTAATAAAATCACAGTGTTATACAGTAATGTTTACTGATGACGTTTCCAGTACCCTTTACTGCTCATAGTCATATCAAGGCACTCATACAACTTTCCAGTTTCGTTTATATGAGTGAATAATTGATTAGACATATGAATGAATGAGTAAATATTGTAAAACACTGAGACTTTACCGAATAAATTTACTCTATTATAGGATTATACTCTACCACAGTGATCAAGTTTTATTCTTATATCAAGAAACTCATATCCCCTTCTGACATTCGAACCTCGGTCACCCATTGCTGCAGTCACAGACATTACTTATTGTTCAATCAAAGTATTCATTACAGTCCTATAGAGGAGGTCAATCGTGAGTCTGAATAGCTCAGTGATAATGCCTCTAACTGCAGTACTCACTGGGTGACGCGGGTTTGGATCTCAGAAGTGATTTCAGTTCCTTCAAGGTTGCAGATACGTCTTGCCGACTAGTGAGTGACAATCAGCATGAAACCTAGATCCCGGTAAACCTTCCTGCCGATTGCCTCCAACATCCTAATATCAACAACTCCAGAGTGATGATGAGCCACCTAGAATGGTGGTGTGACCACATTGCACACTTGATTGATGGAATTCAATCTGCACCAAACGAAGGACTAGACGCATGTCGTTAGTTACTTTCTAGTTACCAATCAAAGTTACAATGCATATATATATATATTCTTTTTCTCGCTCATCCTTTATCGACTTAGATGAATTGTTAATTCCATTCCCGCTTTTTTGTTTTTCATAATAAATGTATCTAGATAAAACTAAAGTGGAAGTACGCTTTCATGTTCCTTCAGCATCATGGATACCAGAGAAGGCTAAACAACTTCTAATGGAAAGGGTAATCCATATCTGCATTTCCATTGTGGATTTTCTTTTTCTTTGCAGGAAGCTAATCGTATTAATAAAGATAATTACTTTATTATTACATCTGATAATACGCGTAAACAGATATTGAATCAAGCGGATTGTTTAGAACGTATACGTCGGGTAGTTAGAGAATGCGTGAATGCTATGAATAAACCTGAACCGAGTCCTGAAGTCTTAGAAGAAATTCAACGTCGGTAAGTATGTTATATATGTATATATGCGTAAGGCTTATTATTATTATTGTTCCTTTGGGTTCCGAGTGAAACACGGAGCTTCAACAGCCTATCTTCATTTCACTGTGTTCTCTGCAGTCCATCTTGGCTAGCTCCATAATTCCGCATAAACTTTCATCTTCTGTATGTTACTCTTGGACTCATGTCTAACCCCCTACCCATGCAACAGGTTTGTCCGAATGGTTTGGTTTTTTTTTCAATCCCATAAATAAACTGGCAAATCAGTTATCATGATAACACTATTTCTGTGGGATGAATATAGATTTAATGTAGAACTGTCACACAAAAAGGTGCAGCAATTCAAATTGTCACACTTCATGCAACCAACACATAAAGATAGAGAGGGTAGTAATGCAAAGATATTGATAGTAAACAGGAATTGACAGGAGATGGATTAATTGCGTAGAGAATAATGTGAATTTAATGGGTCTCGGTGGTTACAAAAAGTGAATACATCTGCGCCATGGAGGAGAGCGACTTTGAGCTGTTCTGTTGTGATGAGAGCTATCTGCAAGATAAAATTGTAGACAACAATTGACGTCCCAAATCGGGGTCATGGGAAAAAAACAACAAGAATAAAGCCTAACCTTGAGGAGCTCAACAACCAATCACAGCGGACTTACCGTGGGCGGTTACGATTCGCAGATATATCACCGGATTGTGTAATAAACGGCAACAAAGAAGTGACAGAATCACCTTCAGCAGGAAAACAACTAATCAGAAGACGTTGCTTCTCTGCTAACAGTAACGCTAATAATAATGTACAGAAAAATCTATAAATATCTGTTGATTTTCTCAATAAACGATTTGTTGCCTGGCTCTTGTCTTCTATCGTCACACTATCAATAGTCTTCAGCCATTGGTTCTCAGTATACCCAGAATCCTAATCAGGCAGCTTACACTTCCCTATAGAGCTGGCTGAAACCAATAGCCAAAAGCTTAATGGATTGATATGTTTTCATTTAAGTATCCTTAACTCTTCTCCAGCCTAGTCCTATGTTGGTTAAGATTGTTCGATGGGGAAGATGGATGACTTGCTATGTTTAACCTGTATCTTAGTTATCTCAGTGGAGGCAGCTTCACAACCTCAGTTGCGATAATGTTGTAAGGTGTAATCGGGAAGCGAAATAGAGCTAAAGATTATTATTATTAGTAGTAGTAAATCTGATTAGCTTTCGGTTTTGACAACTATTTTGCCCTGGTTTTTAGCAAAAACACGGATTTTGTTATACTGAATTGCATATATATTCATATTGGGGTCTACAATTAATTGTCGTGACTGTAGAAGTTTTGTGGCTTTCCAGCGAACTTCACTGCATTACCTTTACTCTAATGTATTTGTTTCAGTCGCTTTTGAAGTGATCTTTGTAAGTTGTAGACGTGGCGTAGACGTGATATCCAGCTGCCAATCAAAAGACGTGTGTACTGCTCAACAGTTCGTTCCATCCTCCTTTATGACTGTGAGACAAGGCCATTGAAAGTGGAAGATACGAAAAGACTAGCTGTCTTTTATCACATATGTCTGCGTTCTATCTTCCGTGTTAAGCGGTATATTCGGGTAAATAATGTTAAGGTTAGGCTTCGGTTGAGTGGTAGATAAGGAGGGAAAATCAATCGATGAGGTTGTGAAGATATATCGATTGAGAGAGATGGTTAGGACATGTGTTACGCATGCGCATGCCTAACCATCGTTATCCTCGGCAATGGGAAATGTCAGCTGACTGACATAGGATGGATCAGGTTGGAAAAGAGTTAGCTAGTGGTGGTCAAACGGAAACATGGCTTCGTCTGTCAATGAAATCCCTAACATTTAGTTTGAGCCACATAGGGAAGTGTAGAGTTCCTGGTTCAGGTGCTCGGAATGGTAAAAACCAATGAATGATGGAGACAATTGGTGATATGGCTGGCTTTAAATCGTTCTCGATGTCTGATGCAGATGCATCTACTCTTTGTGATTGATAATGTCCGATAAAATTCTATTGTTCTTCCATATTACTATTCTTTTTGCCTCAGATTTCTGCTTATATTATAGTCCTTTTGAATCACTTTCTGTCTGTCTCTGTCTTATCTACCTTTGTGTGCTACATGTGGCGTATGGCAACTTGAAATAACACACTTCTTTGCTAAGTTCTATGTTGAAACTTACTCAGTCAGTCAATATAAGATGTTAAGTATGCCATTCATAACAAGTGGTCTTCCTTTTCTGCTCTCCACTTCGTTTTCTTCATCTATCATACTAGGTAGTATCATCAAGCCTCATGCAATGTCCAACAAGTAAATAATCAAGAGAAAAGACAAATGAGTTCAGCAAAATCATCTTTCTTTTCGACGATTTCATCTTCAAAAGCAGCTATACAATCGCATTTATATACATAAGTTTACATAGATACACGATAACGACGAAGAAGGTTAAAGGTGATAATAATAGTAATTTTCAAATTGACATGAAAGGTCAATAGTGTGAATATAGATTACAAGGGACTTAGAAGCGAAATTACATAGGATTAGAAAATAGTTGCTTAATATGTAAAATACACAGCAGGATGGGCATGAAAACAAATTCAAATAATAGCCTTTTATACAACTGAAGATGAAGAAAAAAAATAAAGGGGATGAATGAGCAGAAGAATGATAACTACGGGGTCAAACCGAACTAAATCCACGATAAATGCAGATGTTCAACTAGTCTCTTTTGAATAGATTGCTCCGGCTTCTCGATGTTATATGACGAGGGCTTCTACAGTACAAAGAAGTTGGAAATACACTGTCTTTAATAGATTTCTTTTCGCTTTTGTGAATAATGCTGAATAATGAAAGTCAGTTGAGGCGTTGTGACAAGTCTTCATTGGGCTAGTGAAACCTCTGTAGTCATGCTTAGTAATGTTTCTGTAAGACGTTTTAAAAGGATGCGGATAGAAGTGTGACGACAGAAGACAAGGGCAGGCAACAGATCGTTTATTGAGAGAATCAAGAGGTATTTATCGATTTTTATGTGCATTATTATTACTGATTATTAACAGAGAAGCAACGCCTTCTGATTGGTTTTGTTTGCTGAAGATTATTCTGTACTGCTTGTGACAGTTGCTTACAAGTTATCCATATATCTGCGATTCGTATTTGCACACGCTAAGTCTTCTGTGATTGGTTGTTGAGTTCCCCAAGTTTAGGCTTTGTTCTTCTTTTTTTCTCATGACCCCGATTTGGGACGTAAACGTTGACGTAAATTGTTGTCTTGCTGACAGCTCTCACCACACAACTATTCTTTCCTGGAATTTGCGTTGGTAGTTCATTGGTAGTGTAGTGGTGTGATACAGACAACGTCTGCCAACGGAATGTTATTCTCACATGTTCTCACAGTTCAAATCGGCATTAACAACAGTATGCGATATATCTGTTTGAACATTCTATTTGATCTTAGAGACAGAATACTTTCCCACAGTTCAATACTGCATAGGCAACACAATACTATATGTATATTTGGATATTCTATTTCTTGTCGTTTGATGTAAACCGAAATCATACGCTCAGTGATTGATTAACCAATATAAACTGTAGATACATAAACAGCGGTTTGATTAGTGAAAAATATACTCTGGCTTCCGTGTCTTACCTTCTGTTGTTACAGTAGAATACTCGCCAACCATGCCTCCGTAAAGTGGTCTGGGGTTTGATATCTGGCTGACACACTCTTAAACTTCACCTAGCCAATAGCAAGTCGCCCAGTAAAGGAGGAAGGTCGGATGTTTGAGGGCAACAATCCCACTCCTTAAAAGAAACACCACCCGCTGCTGAAACGTAAAAGAATGAGAGAAAAATAAATCGGGAATCTAAGCGATTTTGTTGTCTGTCTATCGGCAGTTGTTGATGTAATTTGCATCAAGGATACTTATTGTTAGAAATTAGTTACATGCAACAAATTTGTCATATATCACACTAATAGCCATACTTGTTGTAACTATTTCTTTCCCAGTAGTTTCTGCATTGGACTGTTCTTATATGAATAGATTCTTATCTGAAGTTAACAAATGGTCTCATCTAAATGGTCTTAAACAAAATCCATCTAAACGTCATTATTGTTGATTTCAGTTTGAGATGTAAAAACAAGACTTGGGTGGACTGATTCACTCTCATGATTCCTGTAATATTGACGGTACTGTGTAATAGGGAGTAAATCGAATATCTCTCCTATCTCGGCATCAGTTTCTCTTCGAATCTCTGTTGGTTGTCAAATAGCCTGTTGATTTCTAAGAAATTTTTCTGCTCGACTTATTGCACAAAGAAGTTGAGACTTTCTGCTGGCATAACTCATAACACCTCTTCTCTTACAATTTATTAATTCATGTATTCTAGCCATTCGTCTTTATTTCTCCTTCTTATTTTTCCCTCAGCTTTTCATGAAACACTGTACTATATTATGCAGAACATTGAAAGCTGTAGGTAGGATTAGTGGTGTGTGCCTTTGACTCAGCTAACTGACATTATTGACACTCGAATTCTTGCCATCAGTTATCTAAAGTCATCTTTCAAGTATTGGTTTGTAGAGATTTGATTGATTGGTTACTGGATTTCATCATGAGCTGATATCGGTTAGAGAACCATTGGAAAACCTGGGAGTACTAAATAGCTGTTTTTTCAGCTTAATTTGGGACTCTTCATTAGTACGCACACACTGGGATGCGTTATCTTGTCTGATACAGAACATCCTCTTTATTAGCAACTTTTTCCTTGTATCTCTTCGGATACAACCAGAAGAAAACTTCATAAGAATTGACGTTCGTACAACTAAATATAAAAATTCAACCATACCTGCATATTCAGCAGGGGTTTTGTGTGAAGAGAGACAGAGAGAGTCAGATGTCAGAAAAGAACTGATAAACTTTTAAAATCAGTAACTGAACTGGAAATTATCAGCAAAGATTATTATTAGATGTATTACATATGATGCTATCAACTTATACTTCATTATGTTTCCAACAACATTCTGTCTATAGAGGTTTCATTATTAATATTACTATTACTAATATTTTTTACGAGTTTGACCACGGATTGGTATCAGTTAGAGAACTGCTTAAAACCATGGAGTACTGGACAGCTGTTTCATCTTAGTTGGGGTATTATCGGCAGTACGCACCCACCATAGGGGGTTCGAACTTAGGACCTTCCGGTTACAAAGCAAGCTGGTATACCATTCAGTCACGGGGACTCGATTCAATGACCACCCGATGAATTCTAACTTCTACCAATTCGTGATTTGGCGCTACCACCAACCAATATCATCTGTGGGAAATCCATCCTCACACTTGACTGGTTGGACCTCAATGGTCACGACTTCTCACTAGAACTAACTCCAGGAAACTCCGTCCTGTAGCAAGTCACTAGCGAGCATCAGATTAATTTTCCAAGAGTTAGTTTGTAAGGATTAAATTTGTTTCTTACAAGTTTGACCACGGATTGATATCATTTAGAGAACCACTGAAAACCAGTGAGTACTAGAAAGCTGTTTCATCCTAGTTTAGGAATCATCAGCAGCACTCTGGATGGTATACGAGCGCTTGCCTTGTAACCGGAATGTCCTGGGTTCGAACCTTGGTGGTGTGGGTGCGTACTGCCGATGATTCCCAAACTAAGATGAAATAGCTGTCCAGTACTCTAGTGCTGGTTTTCAATGGTTCTTTAACTGATATCAATCCGTGGTCAAACTCGTAAAAAAACAAATTTAATCCTTAAAAGCCAACTCTTGAATATTACTAATATGTATCTGCGTATTCATAAAAGGAGCTAAATAGTTGCAATATGTATATAATAAACACTGAAGATTCTATTCTGTATAACTATTTATTGTTTGGAATAAAGCGATTATTATTATTATTCTTGTATGCCGAGGATTGATAATACTACCCGATTATGAAAGCACTAGAGCATATGAAGTTGAAGTTCTAAATTTCAGACCTATCGATTGAAAGTTGAGTCGTTACGCCAGTGGGTTATATCTTCAATTGCAGATGTTTATTCTAAGAGTTTGTTAAATATCCCTCCCCTGATATTCTTCGTCTTCTTCTTTTATTCTATCAACAGAAAAGTGAAAGCCAATGAAGATAGACTACGTGAAAAGAAGGCGAAATCGTATACAAAACAGCTACGTCGAGATACTGGTGCCGTGGATTTATTCTAATCATTTGATCAAAAAGAAGAAAGACAGAGGAGAGGAAACATCACACTTATGAATGTGTAAATATTTCAGAGAATCAATCAATAAATAGACATAATGTATAGTATATGTATTACATAATATACTGACCAAACTAGCCTTCCTTCTTTTGTTTTTACCTCTTTTTTTCGTTGTTGTTGTTGTTGTGATGCGTATTTTGTTTGTTTGATTATTCATTTTATTTCAAGTTTGATCACGGATTGATATCAGTCAGAAAATTGTTGAAAACCACCAGTATTGGGGTACTGGACAATAGCTGTTTCTCCCCACTCCACTGGGTTCGAACCAAGCACCTCCCGGTTACAAGGCAATCTTGTAGATTCGTGATTTTAACGCGACTAGTACCTGTCAATGTTATCGGCGAGTATTTGCCCACATTGCAAACTTGACTGATAGAATTCAGTTTGCACCAAAGATTGGACTAGACACACACACATAAACAATACACTAGTAAGTGACTAGTGTCCAGTTAAACATATCCAATACACTCCTAAAGGAGGTCAATCGCCAGCCTGAATATCACAGTGGTAACGTGTCTGACTGCAGGTGGTACTGGGTCACCCGGGTTCGAATCTCAGAAGGGACATGAATTCCTTCAAGGTCGCAGGTACGTCTTGTTGGCTACTGAGTGCCAACTAGCATGAAATCTAGATCCCGGTAAGGCTTCTTGTTGATTGTCTCCAACGTCCTAATATCAACAACTCCAGAGTGCATCGTGATGGTGAGGCACGTAGCATGGTGGTGTTGCGGTGAGTGCTACTTATAATCCGATATAAGTAGTATATCAGAAAGCGAATTCAGAAAAGTAACAATATGTTTTGCACACTGGAAAGAGCAATCAAAGAAGAGAACTATGAGAAGAATGTTGCCATATGATGCAGAATCCAAGAAGCTATCGAACGTGACGATATTCTACCAATTCGTCAAGGATGTGGTAAATGATGTGCAAATGGCGGTTTGAAAATATGGTATACCAGATTTACCTATGTACAATACGTTTCACTAAATAAGCATTCCTTCCAGCCTCCTCAGTCTTTTCTTCTTTACAGTGTGACCATATTGCACACTTGATTGGTGGAATTCAATCTGCACCATACGAAGGACTGAATGTATCACACTAGTTATTGTCCAATCAAAAACCAGCGTCTGACTGGGTGGGTCCCACTGGTCCTGTAGGCAGTCACTAGCACGCATCAGCTATCCAGTACACCCTAGTGGTTTTTAGTGCTTCTCTAACTGATACCAATCTGTGACCAAACTTGAAACAAATTAAATCCTTACAAACAAACTTAAAAGTAATCATTTTATAATATTGATTACTACTAAAGTTAAGTGCGTTGTTCCACACACACACACACACACACACACACACACACACACACACACACACACACACACAGAGTTTTGTGGAGTTGTCATTGTGGAAAAATCACCACTAGATTTGATTGCATTTTTAGTATCACCAGGAGGAGGATTGTTATCCTCAGTCATTTTCGTAGCATGCCTTCATTTCACCAGTCTTTAACACTTAGAGATATCACTTCTTGAAGAGTTATTTTAAGCGTTCTACTCAACACAAGAAAAAAACAAAAATGTGTGTTTTGATTTCTAAAGTATCAGGAGTAGAACGTGTAAAGTACAAGTAGAAATTAAGCATTTGAACTGATCCTGGCAGGGTAAGTGACCCCAACTGGAAATTCTCGCATACACGTGAAAGTAAGAAAATCACCACCTTGTTCTCTGGACAGGGCAAAGTTAAACTTTAAGCACCACTAACTACCAATCAGCGAACAACCTTCAACAAACCAATCACTTGAAAAGGGATTTTCGATTAAGGAAAATGTGTATTTATGAAAAAAAGCATAAAAACTGCATAAAACTGTTTCACAGGGTATCTTTCTCTAACATGTGACAGAAACATCTCCCAGTTTAGCATAAGAGTGTCAAGAGAAAAGGTAAACCACATTCTGTACATATATTCATTCAAATGACTATAAATGACCTACTTTTGAGACCCATTTATAGCCCTAATAATATTTCTTAATCTTCCCCGAAATCTTTCTATAGAATTCGTGTGTGTCCCTGTGATGGAATCCACAAAATCACTAGAATGGTTCACTCTGTGATAAATATATCCCAGGGATGACATCGAGTTATAACCTTTCCATTCATTGGTATGTACTCGAGATCCCTGTTTCACCAGTCGAGTGACAATAGGTACTGAGGTAGTAGACTTTCTGTCTACTATTCTCTCCACGAATCCTTTCTGCAGGGAGGTGTCATATAAACCAATCACCTAAACATTGTTGGCTCGCTCACGACCACGGTTGTATTTTTTCCTCAATAAGACAGTTTCGTTCACGTGTACGACAACACCTTCTCCGCCTAACAACGAAGTAATTCTCTCCATTTTCCATGAGGCGATGTCTCTGCAGTACTGGTACCACTGAACTGTTGACACGAGGCCTTTTTCAGTTTCAGCAGCTGTGCCTCTCACAGTCTGTTTTAAAACCCAGTAGTTACAAATATACAAATCTGGGTTGGGGAGAAATGCGACCTAGCAAAAAGTGTTCCTACGAAATACTAGAACACGGTTAATACTCTCTGTTAACAGTCAATATGACTAGATGCAGTACTGAACTATACTAGGATTTGAGTGTTCGTTTGTCGCCAAAATATAGTATGCCTGTACTGATTTGAATAACCCCATCAAAATAGGTTATGTCCCTGTAGTTGTATATGTATATATTATGACGGCACTAAATTTAATAACCCTGTCACCAAATATGCTATAATTTTTTTTTATTATTTTGATTTACAGCTTGATTTCACACCGTATTTTCAGTACAAGTGTGGAATTTTCAGCATGGATATCGGTAGCCCAAATTCAGGCCGACCATAGATATCGGGTGTGCGCCGGCAGAGGATTGAACCCCGGACCATGTGCATGGTCGGCGAGAGTCCTAACCACTGTGCCACCGACGCAGTGGGTGTTACTGGTTTGTGGTTGTCATCTAGACACGACACTATAAGCGGCTGATCACGTGAAAATATTCCTCACATTGAGATGGACACACAGAAGTCAGATTCAACCACAACAATCGCGATAACAACGTTTTAGGATTCAAAATACAGGGTGTATCGCTTACATATCCATGGGAATCTGAATCACAAATAAGTAACCAATATCTGATTGACTGCATGGCCTTGAAGGCCTTCCGAGAATTAGTATTATTATTGTCTCCTTTAGTTCATGGAGGAAAATGGGGCTTCAAGCACACGTCTCCATTGCGTTCGGTTCTATGCCAACGTTTTCATCACCAGGCTCCACCTCTGCCCACATGCTTTCATCTCCTCTTCCATGCATGACCTCCTCCATGTCATCCTCACACTGACGACCAACTTACCGCTTCCCGTTTGGGTTCCACTTGAGCAATGGCCTGTATTGTGATGTCACTTGATGGTTTGTCTTCTCGGAGTGTGACCTCCAATCCACCTCCATCTCTTCCTGGATATGTTTTGCACAATTGGTTCCTGGTTGGTTCGCTCCCAAAGATCCCTCTTGCTGATCTTTTCTGGCCGGCCATCTGATCTTGAGTAGTATTGAGCGAAGACAACTGTTGATGAAGGTGTGTAGTTTTTTTGAAGTGGCCTTCGTGACTCGGCGCCAAGTCTCTGATCCGTATAGTAGCACTGACTTCACGTTGGAGTTGAAAATCTGGATGTTATTTTTCGTGCTGAGTTCTGAGTGATGTTGATGTCCACACAGACTTGAGAGTAATGAAAACTTGCCTTGCTTATGTAGGAATTTCTTCTTTTTTTTCTTTCTTTTCCTTCAGTTCCCCAGTGGAACATAGGGCTTCAAGCTAGTGGCTTGAAGTTTCTGTAGCAGTGTTTATTTTACAGGATGAGGTTGCTAGCCTCATGCCCAACCTTTCCTCTTTACCAGTAGTATTCCTGGCTTAGTGAGGTAAAGGAGTGCGTCGGCAGGGGACTGAACCCCGGACCATGTGCATGGTCGGCGAGCGTCCCAACCACTATGCCACCGACGCACATGTAGGAATATCATAACGTAATTAATATGAAGAATAACTATGGAGATGGGCTATTTTTACTTTTGTGATTTGACTGTGATGCCGTGTCAGCTAAAGTCTCTACCCATCGTTTCTACTTATTCTACAAGTCTCATTCAGGTAGCGTACACTTTAATACAAATGATTTACATTAGTTTAAATCACAATATATCAACGGTATTATGAGTTCTGTCGAATAGTCAACTAGCATGGAGTGTACCTGGGTTTATCCAACGTTTTGCTGATTAGATTTCATGTCCAAAGTTGTGATCCACATTTTGCTAATGTGAAGGTTGATTGCACTAATCTAATTGTCAAGGCTTAAGTAGTTGGAACCGGTCTCGGACTTGGAACTCATTATCACCTGGAAGTTGTTTGTATGAGTCAATGAGTCACATTTTGACATGATAATTTCATTGCATAAAAGACTTAGCTTAATACCACTAGAGTTCAGTGTCAAAGGTTTCTTTTTTTATTGTACTTTAGCAATAGGAAAGGTCTTTATTAACCAACTTGATTCGTGTTCATTGCCTATTGGCCTGGGAGACTATACCATAGCGGTTAGGACTTTCGCAGACCATGCAAATGGTCCGGGGTTGCACCCCCTGCCGATGCACACCTGATATCAATGGTCGGCCGGCAAAATTTGGGCTACTGATATCACATGCTGAAAATTCCATACTTGTACCAAAATACGGTGTGGAATCAAGCTACAATCAAAATGTAAATATAATTTGAAAGTAGTTAATTTGTAATTCCACTAGGGATTCTTCAAGTATGAAGCCGGTTGAGAATTACTGTTATCTTTGATTATTGTATTGAGTATGCCGTACACTTGTGTGTAGTAGAGTGAGGTGTGTCGTTTCGGTGAGTTTATTTGTGACATGACACACCAGACCGTCGCTTGGAACGCGAAAAGGAAGTGACAAGTTGGGCATAAGTTTGAAGGTGGTGATGGGGTGAGGAGACTATGTGAATTGGGAAATGTGAAGGCTTATGGGCAACCATGGAACCGATGAAGAATGATAACAAACAGGTTTATATCTGTAGTCCCGAAAGTGGCTTTAATTAATAAAATCCAAATATTCGGAGAAAACTGCACGGTTTGGCGTAAGGATCCATCAAGGTTTCCATTGGAATCCTAAAATATTCAAATCACAGCATATGACTTACTTGTTCACAGAAATGGTAATAAAGAAAATAAGAAAACAATAGCGAGATGGTTTATACTACTGATTGATATAAGTAGCTGGAAATGTTGCACATCATTTATATACCATTTTTCTAGCAGTTAAGCGTACTCATCAACAGATGTTAAACTACATATATCGATCTTGTTAAAGTTTTTTTTTCGGCCTCATGGTCAGTTGAGCGTTCGGTTTCTTTTGGTTGCGCTATTCTTTAAATTTACTATTACTTCTTTTCAAGTCTTCAAACTGTACTTGTGCTAGGAGAGAGAATTTGTCAGAAATGAAGAAGGTAAAAGAAAGCGATTTGTGAGATATGGGACAAAAGATACTAAAGAAATTAGTTAATTCAATTTGGACTTTCTTGTTGATTGATTGGACCGGAGTGTTCGACCTCAGGTTGACATATTGGTTCCTTGGGTGGATGCTTCGACGATGTCTGATTATTTAACTTGAAGTAATTTCTGTGGATGGTGACTAGCAGTGGAAACTAGGATGTGCATTTCGTCCCCTTTGGGACCCGTCAGCTAGACGTACGTGCATTCCTCAGTGAGTGATGATCTCCCCACTGAGGCTTGAACCCAGTACCCATCGCTTCAAACGCCAAATTACTTCAAGTTTAATAATCAGAAATCGTCGGAGTATCCACACAAGGGGTTGACATGTCAACCTAAGACCGAATACTTCAGTCCATTCAATCAACAAGAAAAATTAATACCTGGTACACAAGCGGTGGCTCTCGTGGCCCAACTGGTCTAGTGGATAACGTCATGGCATTTGTAACTAAGGGTACTCGGTTCGAGCCCCTGTGTGGGCTCTGTCACTCACTGGGAAATGTAAGCACATCCAGTTGACGAGTCCCAAATAGGACGAAGTGCGAGTTATCCTGAATTCCACTGCTAGTCACCATCCACCAAATTACTTCATAATAAAGAGATGATTGCAATTAGAGTGATACGTTGATTAAACTTCAAAGTTTCATAAGCTCTCGAGCTGGCTGTACGATTCAAATCAGTGTTCAGTGTTATTCTCTTATGTACAATTCGATCACTCAGAAGTTACGGTCTATTCCTATCCTCCTGTATAACTGATTAACTTTACAATTCTCCTCTACATTCCCGTTTGTTATTCAACAGTCTGGTGTAAATGATAGTGACTTGGTATCGTAGATAGCATTAGATTGACAGACTACTGTTGATGCTATGGATGATGGGTGACTGGTTGGATTACTGACCTGTCACTCTGCTATTGGAGCAAAATCATCCATCTGCTAATCAGCTCATCATTCTACTGGATCTAGTAACTGGAAGTTAGTACTCTTGAGGTCTCTGATTTGAGTTCCAACATGACTCAAGTTTCCGTTTGTATATTATTAAATACCAATTGAAATATTCTACAGTTTCAATGATAGTTAAATAATTTACTCGTTTATAATTTAACCGCCTTTTCGTATATTTTTGTAGGTATGTATGTTAATGTCTTCTCAATCAACAACAAATACCAATTCCACAGATAACAACATCAAGGTTAATTCAAGCCAGACTGATTCACACACTAGCAATGAAAGTACTACAAATTCTTCACAAAATCATGACCAATTAATTCATTCAAGATTAGGCAGTCTTGTCCCAGAATGTGATTCAGTCAAATCGGCTTATGATTTATGCTTTCAAGAATTTTTTCCAACTTTTCTACAAGGTAATTTTATTGCCAAGGATCCATGTGCAACAAAGTTAAAAGTTTATCAGAATTGTTTACGTGAAGCATTGAAAACAACATTCAATATGGATTTAGCTGAATTGGATTCTATTCAAACAGATCCAGAGACAATTAGAAATATTATTAATAATAGTAACAGTAATAATAATAGCAAAAAAACAAAATGAATTTGGTGGGAAAGATTTAGTTTGTTTTTCTCTTTTTTTTGCGAATTAATTTGGTTCGATTGGGAGGTAGGCCTTCTTTTGTCCTTTCATTTAGGCGTTGAGTACTAACTACTCAGGTTCTCTTTCTTCTCTAGACTGTAATGTATTATGTATGCATGTTGTTGAAGAATTTAAGCTTGTCAGCTGTTGATACATTAAGTGTCAGAGTTTGTGTGTGTGTGTGTTTTGTGGTCAATACTGCTATCTCAAATGAGATTAGATTACTTTCTTATCTTTGTTTATGTCGCTAGAATTCAACTATCATTCATACATTGCTGTTATTAAATTTTATATATTTACAAAGAATGATACTTCTTAGTGATTAATTTTATTGGTAGAGATGTTATGCTTTATATGTTGACTTCAGTCGCTGTATCGGTAACGTTAGTTACGGAATTCTTGGATCACTTGTGCCCCCTTCTCTGTGCTCAGATGCAATGATTTCACTCACTTTGAGAGGTTTGATCGAATCTTGTATGCAACTTTGAGGGACGTTTCAAATGGAGTTGAATGTCCTGAGTTTACCAGATGTCGTCCTGTCTGTATACACACACACACACCGCGTTTACCCGTTTGCTAGCCAAGCTAGGTAGTGTTCCTGAGCGCGTTTTGCAAGCGGACTCATGGTACGGCCAATATACTCCGCTATATCAAGCGAATTAGTATATGCATGGTTGAATTGGCCTATTGTGGCAGCTTGTCTTTCATATGCTGTAGGTTGAATAGTTTCTGGCAAGGAAATGTCACTTGTAGGCTGGCGGTGACGTATTATATTGCTGAGAGATTTCGAAAACCGTTTATGGAGAATTCCTGCCTCAGTGTCACTTTCAAATTCAAGATTAAACAGCAGTATCTTTTTGCAGGCGATATGGACCTGTTCAGAAGGTTTCTCTAGTTTTAGATTCTTGTCTATGAATTTGGTTGGGAAATCATTTCCCCACAAGATTCCTCGGAGATTTTGCATATACCAGTTCACTTAATCTTGTGAAGTTGAGTACACTGGTTATACCATGCGTCCACTTGCAAAACCCATTCGATAACACTATTCAGCTTGGCTAGCAACAGGAGAATGCAGGTGTGTACATAGATCGGTAACAGAAGATCTGGTGAACTCAGGATATTCAGATCTCCTTTTGAGAAGTCCCTGAAAGTTGCATACAAGATGCGATCAAACCTCTCAAAGGGAGTGACATCATGGTATCTGGTCATAGCTGAGAAGGTACTAGTGATCCGAAAATTCAAACCCACGCTATGTCTCCAAAAGTTACGGAATTGTTAGATCAATTATTTACTAGGATACGAGTGAAAACAATGCGTTTCGAAATCCTGGCATAATATCTGGTCAGCTGTAGAAACAGTGGCAAAGGTAAAGGTTAGTAAACGCCAGTGGATTTCTACTGCTTCGTCCAGACTGATAGGGGCAAGGAAACTGATTCCGGCGCGTCCCGAACATATAGTGAGGAGCGAAAGCTGCTCAAGCTCAAGCTGACCGAAATTCTCCTTAACGACCAAGTACAGTGATTGGCTGCAAAAGTGAAAGAGATCGAAAAGGTACCGTCGATAGGTAGCATCAGACAACTAACTATTCAGTCTTATTAGAGAAACAGGTTGCAAGAGGCAAATGATATGTTAGATAGTCTCTGAGGAAAGTGGCACTTTAATTACTTCTCAGGATGGAAGGCTAGAACGTTGGAGGGAAGGACTTTGATGAGTAATTTAACTTGCCTACAGTCTTACCAGGTCTGTCAAGCATCCAACACCTACCTGAATGGGACGCTGACATCAGTTTTCCAACCGTAACTGAGGTTACAAAGGCTGTCTATAATCTGAAGTGAGGCAGAGCTGCAGGATCTGATGGGATGTCTCCAGAGGTCTTTAAGGATGGTGGTGACAAACTGGTGTCTGGGTTAAGCAAGGTAGCGGGTAATGTCTTGGAGTTAGAGATAGTTTAGTTACACTCGTATAAGCCAGTGATTATCCCAGTTTACAAGAAAGGAGAGACAACTTCCTTTGATAATAGAGGGATTATTTTGATTAATCCGGTATCTAATTTCCTAGGTTCGGGAGGAACAAACGCGAGAAAACTAGATAGCCTTTGGACCACGAAGAGGGTGTATTAACCATATATTCACCCTTCGATAGATTGTGGAACATAGATATACTTACCGGTGTCCAGTGACTGTCATATTTCTTGATCTGAAGCCGGCATTCAATTTTGTCGACGAAGACGTGCTGTAGCAATGTTTAACCATTTAGTAAGAAAGTATATTGCACTAATCAAGGCACTCTACTCGAACTCTTGCAGGCAGCCAGGTGAGAGCCTACGGAGAGTTGTCATCTGAAGTAGTGACAACTAGTAGTGTCCATCAGGGATGCCTCTTGTCCCGATTTCTGTGTAATTTCACCAAAGATGTGCTAATGGACTTAACCCTAACTCTCACTTCAGCGACTCAGGGATTGACTTGTCACCATCAGGGAATAATCTCGTTGACTCAGAATATGCAGATGATATAGTCCTTCCTCCTAGGTGAAGATGCTGACAAAATGCAACAGACTTCTGAACACCTTGATAGGTAGCAATTTTCGAATGTTTACCAGGTGATTGGCTCCCTTTGTCAAATGTAAGATGATGCTACAGGACTGATCTACACCGACTCCTAGTTTCTCTACTTTTCTGCGCTATATAGACGGTGACAACTTGAACTACTCTACTTCTGTACAAAGTTCAACTTTGAAAATCAATCAGTTAAAATATCTCTGAAGAAATAGGTCGTATATCCTGGGTAGGAATTCTGAAAGTGGAAATGTGTATTTTCAACTTTGAAATCTACTGATTAGATGTAAGTATCAAGCAATACTTACTGCTACCGACTAGTAAGAACTCTAAATTAATCCAAACAAATACCTCAGAACATCTTCCATCTCACAATTGAATATCGAAATTTCTAAAATAATCATTTCTTATGTCATTACGTGAACACAGCAATGAATTATACCGCTACACTTGGCATTGTTGTTAGGCTGACCATTAAACTTATTTAATTATTATGAGTAGACTACTTTAATCTCATTTGAGTAGTTGTCATATATGACAACTGGTGTCTACTTATATATTTGCTAGCACGTCTTTAGAAATATATATATTTGTAACGTGTTGCGTTTGCATCTGTAGTGTATCTGTCAACCAGGAAACCTTCTAGGCGTGAGCCTTGTTTTCTGGCGTTGAACAGGCTTAGAGAAATGAAAGTAGTGTTGATCAATGTCAGCGATCGGTTGATTTATGGTCGGGAAAACACGATGAGAGTTTAAGTGACGAGAGGAGCTTTGGTCTAAATAATACTCTGGCTTGGAAAATTATTCAAAACTGTACAGGTTAAGTATTTTCAACTGAATTCTTACTAACATTGAAGATTTTTCCTAAAAAATTCTTAATGTAAAATTAAGTCACTTATTAGTAAACAAAAAATATGATATGATCATAAGCAGTAAATTGTGCTCGAAACTTCATCAGCAAATATTACTGTTTAACACTGTGACTTTGTCAAAATAAAAATTTCATCCATAATGGTTCCTGCTTTATTAGGAAGTCTAGGTGGGATTTCCAATATGCAAAGAATGGCTTGAATTCTTTCTTATTTATTTTAATGCTCAGTAGTTTCATGGTTGTTTCTGCTCATAATTTTAGGTCTTTTTGGACTTCCTAACAAATTTTATGGGATTGTTGTAGAGCATCAATGCATAACTTTTTATACTTAACAACTTGAGCTACTGACTATTATTCAGTAGTATCGTGTATGTATTCATTTTTGTCGTTTTTCAGCTTAATTTGATTACAAGGAGCTGTCATAGACTTTGTTTAGGTTTAACATGTTAGTGTTGGGGATGAATTCTTTTAATTTCGTGTCTAATCCTTATACTCTCCTGTGAAACTAAATCCAGCGTCTTGCTAAGTAGTATACCTGTGTTCCACTTAGGGAATTTTAATTTTCTTTATAAGGAAGAATTCCAAACTAGGACGAAACATCTGTCCAGTACTCCTAGCTGGTTTTTCAATGGTTCTATGACCGATGTTTGCTCATGATCAAATCTTCCAACCGATTAACGTTGAGGTGAATTTGGAAGCCATCTGTGGCAATTTAGATTGTTTAGCCCTGAAACATGTGAGTTACCTTCATGACTGTGTCCTTAGTCAATTAAGGAAGAAAATTCATTATTTTGAAGTGATTAAATCGTATATGATACCTGCCTCACTTATAAGATCAAGAGTCAATAAGTGCCGAATTGAATTTCGGACTCATGGCAAAGTTAAACGATCATAGCCAAAACCACAGTGACCCTGAACGACCAATCAGAATTCAGATGCAAAAAATCGCATAGTCGTTGAGAATTGCACTAAAAAGCATTGTAAACATGATATCACACTGTATAGTTGTGGCTTATGTGTTGTAAGAATGTCTCCCAGTCAATACACAGATGATCTGTAGAGAAATCGTACAATTTGTGGCATACCCATTTATCGAGGTAGGTGACTGTAAGTGTCATGGTACTTTGAGATCCATTGATATTTCTGACACTATGTTTCAAGCTACTCCTAACTCTAACCATAATCCTAACTTCTAATCCTAACCTTAACCCGAGACCCTGAACCTTAATCTTAAAAGCCATAACCCTACCTAACAGTATAGATTTGCAGAAAAAGCACGTAGTAAATAAGTAGGATGCTGTATCTATCCTCTCTAAGTCCATAGTAATCCCTGTGTCTAATTGGTTCTTGAAGGTCAGTTTTTGAAAAACCTTGACTTTGGCTATGATACTTTAACTTCGCCGGACTCATTATTTTTAAAATTTTATTTCTTTACGTTCCCAGTGGAACATTGGGGCTTCAAGCTAAAGCTTTGAGGACTCAGTAGCAGTGGTATTTATTCTGATGGGATAGGGTTGCTAGCAGCTTCTTGCCAAACCTTCCTTCTTTACTAGTCTTATTACTGGCTTAGAGAAGCGGAAGAATGTGTCGGCTGGGAATCGGACCGCAAACCACGTGCCTGGTTGACAAGCATTCGACCGCTGTGCCACCTACGCTTTGAACCCACCAGAACGTTTCAATTTGGCTTTGTAAGATAGAGTTGATATATATCGCGCTTAATTGTATTGGTGTCCCAGGACTAGTGGATCGATAATTTGGATTGTTTAAGGGATATTTCAAGATCGTTTGCTTGTTTACTTCGGTTAGAAATGACTTTGATGAACGAAATATCCCCATATTGAGTCCCATTTTGAAAAAGACGTAAACAGCGAAGAAAATTTTCTTTTTCGACGATTCATTGTCACAAGCTGATGCACAATCGTACTCATATTTTTAACAAAGAAATCATAAAACCAATCAGACAGCAGTAAAATTTCTCCTCGAAAAATGTATTACGCAATGTAGAGTGTAACCTAGAAGGGGTGACTAATTGAAAATTACAAAAGAGGCAGAAGTTAACATGACGTAATAAGTGTGAGGTAATGACCAATCAATATGACTGCGTTGAGTGGACAGGAACTAGTGAAAAGACGACAAAGTGTTTTTATATAAAAAATCTGTATGAAAACGCAATGTTATTAACTAACAGTAATAGAATGATAATGAAACATGGATGATGGGAATAGTAATGATGATAAAATAATAGTAGTAATAACTAATAATAATAATAAACTGACATAATAAAAGAAGCAAAATTATATCCAGAATGTTACTCTGGCCACGGTAGGGCGAGTGAATGTATCTAGTGCTTTTGAATGCAGAGGTCCGGTTTCAGATTCAGAATACCTAGTGATTCAGCTATTTACAGATGGCGTATTCGAAGTCCCTTTGTACGATATGGAGGGACTCTGTGTAGAACTGTGAAGCATTCATGCAAGTGGGAGTGCTCAATGTACGGAGATGACAAGGTGTTCGAGGATGGAGCTGCTACTATTCTTCTTTTCTTCTCTGGCTGACTAACCAAGCTGGACAATGTTCCAGAATACGTTTGTAGACTTGACGTTGCGTACGGCCGATATACTTTGCTCCACACGAGCAAGTAAACTGTTAAATACACATTGAGGTAGCCAAAAGCGGTATCACGTGCTTAACGTTGGACTGGATAAATTGTCTGTTGTAGAACGTGATGCGTAAGGTGGCTACTTGAAATGTCTTCTTCAGACATTTAGAAAGGCGGTTTGTAAGAATTTCTGGTGCGATGTCACCTTTGAATTCCAGGTTCATGAAGAGATTTTAGTTAGGAACAGTTGTGATTCTCGGCGGTGGAGACATTTCTTTCATGTTTTTGTCTATGAATCTTGGTGGATGCTTGTTCTCCAGTAGGGTTTCACGTCGTGAATTTAATTCTTTCTTTATCTTGTCTTCCGTACAGATTTTTCTAGTCCTTGGACTTAATGTACGTACTAGGTTTTTATTTTAGATCAGTGGGATGAAGCTCTGGAAGTTCACAAACTGTCGCGTCCGTGTTGGCTTGCGATATGTCGATCTTTGGATCGTATAGTCTTGTCTTCTGGTAATTGGTACATAGAGGAATGGAAATGCCATATTCGATTTACTTTCTATGGTGAATTTTATTGATGGATGTGCTGCGTTGAATTGACTTTATTGGTTTTTATTTGGTCATCTATTCTCTACGGGCACAGAACTTTGACTATGGTTTCTTAGCTTAATCCTTACTAGTTTGGTGTCCAGATGCAGATGCATCCACTCCTTGTGACTTATGATTTCCAATTAAACTTTTGTTCTCCGTTATTACTATTCCTTTGTCTCACACCTCTGTTTGCTGTCTATATTATGCATTTCTTCTACTTTCTTCTCTTGCTTTGCGTGCTACATAGATTGTGGCGACTTGAACTGCCGCACATATGTGCAAAGTTCTATGTCGAAAACCGACCGACCGACCGAGTTTGGTGTCCAGTCTGTCGGTATCGTATCACTGCCGCATCCACGAAAGGAAAATATATTAAATTTACATCTATTCAGGAGAGTGTGAAATCAATTTACTAGTTATCCATTACCTACCTTTTCCCTTCAACCAACAACAAATTGAGTCTATTTCTCTCTTTATTTCAATTTCAAAATTAGTCAAGGTAAAATGTCTGAAATTCATTCCGATCCATGAATATCTTTTAGCCTATTGAGCACAAAATCGAGAAGCGGAGTAGATGTTTTTTTTTCTATGAAATAATGTAGACTTTTAAATTGATAATTAATTACGACAAATTAGCATGTTCATATTTTAACCCATGGATGTCTCTTCTTATTTTTACTGCTACTTCATAGATGATTTACCACTTTTCATAGGCATTTTCACACAAATATCTTTGCGGTCTGTAATTCCACTTCTTGTTAGGTCTCTTGACGCTGCAGTAAGCATCTAGGTATGTCAGACAGCAAAATTTACAATGTATTCATTACTTCTGATGTGTTTTATAAATATTGTTCCTCTGGGTTCCGTGTGGAACATACAGCTTCAACAACGTATCCCCCTTTGTTCGACTTCCTGCTGTCCTATTCTGCTGCGACGACAATTGCCCGTTAATGTCTCGTCTCCTCCAACTCACACGATCTCCTCCATGCCGCCCTCGGACTCACGTCCAACTCGTCGTTTCCCTTTCGGATTCCACTGAGGCGATGGCCTGCACTGAGCACGATGTCATTTAACGGTCTCCTCAGCGTATGCCCAATCCATCTCCATTTTCACCTACATATTTATTGAGCAGTCGGCTCTCGCCTGTTGGTTTGTTCCACTGCAGAGTTTCTTGTTACTGATTTCTTCTGGCCGACCGGCCGACTGGCCGTTTGATCTACAATATGGAGCCAGGGAAGGAAGCAGGTGTTGATAAAATTTTGCACTAGCCTGTTGGAAATTCTTTTCGTGACGCACACGTCAAGTTCTTGACCCACATAGAAGAACTAACTGAGTGACTTGACATTGGTGTTGAAACTCCGAATCTTGTTGTTTACACTGTGTAGTGCAGAAGATTTCCAAATCGATTTCACATTAATGAAGGTGTATTTCGCATTCCCAATTCTGTTTGGCCTTGACATCTTCATCCCTCCCGCCTGTAGTTTAATTGCTCACTAATTTCCTAAAGGGGTTCGAAGCTCGGAAAAAGAAGGAGAGTTGGGCGTGAGGCTAGCAACCCTATCCCGTGAAATCAATCAAACTGCTACATAAACGTCAATGCACAAGAAGAATATTGAAATAAAAAAAATTGTGTTGAGTTTAGTAACCATAACTACATTTATGTGAAATCGTTGATTTGATATCATTACATGATATTTTTCCACTGAAAGCTTTATTGAAATTTGTTAAAGCATTTAACTGATTCAAAGACAATATTTACGGTAACTTTAATCACTTTGTGGTATCCACTTCAAGCAGATTTCTTCAGGATCAATATGATGTAAATTAGGTCAGTTTGCTTAGAAAACAGAACTACTGCATCGTTTCTGCAATACTTTCTGTGTTAATCATCTGTCACGCTTATCATCCATCTTCCAGAATGTTAGCTATTATTATTATTTCCTCAAAAACCTAGAGGAACATAGGGCCAGCCAGAATAGATCAGTAACAGGGATCTCTGGCAATGAGCGAACCAACCAAGCACGCATGAACCAATTGTGCAAAACATGGAGGAGGTCATGCAAAGAAGAGGAAATGAAAGTATGTGGGCAGACGTGGAGCCAGGTGAGGAAAACGTTGGCAGAGAACCGAACGCAGTGGAGACGTGCGGCTGAATCCCTATGTTTCTCTAGGAACTAAAGGAAACAATAATAATAATATTAATGATAAGTAATGTCACTAACTTTCTAGTGATCAATTTGTGTTCATTTTTTCTGATTAACTTTTGCATTAAATTCAGCCTTGTATTATAAATTATTACAAGTGTTTAGCATATTCACATTCAACTGAAGGTTACACCGTATTGATTATTCTTAATATTATCTCATTAGGCTCATTAGTAAGTTATTGGAAGGCAGACAGAGTGAAAATCACATGAAATAGACAGAAAAAAACCCAATGAGAATGACCTACATAATTTAAATTTCATCAGGAATTCTCGTTATTTTTCTTTATTGATATTTTGTGTAAATAGAAGGTGTATGATGTATAATGAATAGAGTATATGTGAGCGACTAATTATAAAAACGATGAATATGAATTCATGAACAGACGGTGATGTTCACTTTACCTACCGATTTATCTTCAGAAATTTTGACCCATCCTGGTCCTCCCATGTCTTAGCGATTTCTAAAAGAATATTTCGTTTGACTTTTTACATGAAGAAGTTAAGGCACTCAGGCATAACTCAACCAATCCCTCCTCTTACAGTTTGTCAACTCGTGTATTTTACCTATTCTTCTTTACTGTTCACCCTTATTCTTTCCTATATTGCTTAAAAATGACTACGTCATACTTCGTAGAACGCTGAAGGACGAGCGGTATCCCATTGGGCCATATCGTTGACATTGTCACTGATAGGCACTTGACGTCATGCAACAAATTCGCTAAAGGAATTTTGTCAGACTCTGAGCACCCACTCTACCCGCAGCTCCAACCTTGTGTCTCCTCAGGTAAAACAAGAAGTCTTTTCAGGAGACTTTATGCACGTACGTCTAAGTATAAAAATTCCACTATACCATATTTAGCACGTATTTTATGTGATGAAAATAGTGTTAGGCATGAACTAACTAACCATCTTTGCATTACTAAATAAACCATTTCCTCCACCTTTAAAAGATCAAACTTTATTGTTATTGTACTTCTTATATTTATAATCCTTGCAAATTTTGTTTTGTTTATTATTTTTGTTCATAAGTGTGAACATCATTTAAGCTGCATTATAACTTTTAATTTTGTATTTCCCCTCACTATACTATATCAACACAACATGAGATTCAATAATCTATAACATGCTAAAGTTTCCAAACTGAATCGACAATACTGTTTGAAACAAACTCACTGTTATTATTATATTTAATAATCTCAATTCGTGCTTCGAATATTTTTGACTTTATGTGGTAAGTGTGGACAAATTCCTCTGGTTAATTTTGTTTTAATTTTTAATTTTATTTATATTTTGAGTAAATCAGATGCAATATTGTGACAAATGCTGAGAATTCCATTCTGTATTATGAGTGCTGTTTTTGGAATAAAGTAGATTATTATTATTATTATTATTATTACATATACACGATAGTTTAGTTATCTTATGTGTAGTCCAGTCAACGGTTAGTATAAGTGAAAAAGTCAATGGGACACACAGACATCCACACACACACACACACACACCAATACACACTCAAGTGAGTACACATATACAAAATCTATATTCACACAATAGTCGTGTTCAATGCATACTTCAAATTAGATGACTTTGGATATTTTCTTTGCTCTAAACAGGTAGCTATAATTTATATGTGAAACTGTTGGCATAGGATTTCAGTCAGTCAGTTATTATTGAATAAGATAACGTACACTAAAAGAATATATCTACACATATTATCGTCTCTGGTATTCTGTTTTTGGTGTTTTAGAGTGAGTTCCATGCATGTTCTATTATTATGATTATTACTGTTATTACCATGGTTACCATTATTATTATTATTATTATTATTACTTATTCCATGCAATCCGAGTGGAGTCTAAAGCTTCAGTGACAGATGAGAGAAGACAGAAAACACGAAAATCTAATAAACAGTTTTAGCTTGTACGTCAACAATGGCAACTCAAGAAGGTTAAAGTTCATTAAATTGAAAACTTGTTTAGTGAGCTGAGCTCACTAATGAATATGACTAATCAGTGTAATGAAAGTAATACGGTTACCAAGGGAGTGAGAGATTGACTATACTCTCTTTCTGTGTGCATAAGTTTGGTCTGAGATGTTTGATTGCAATCGCTTTAGCAGATCGTAGTAGATTCGCTGTTATTTGTATGTTTAATATTTTGAAGGATTTGGAAATCTCGACAAAATGAACCTTATCCACAAGGTGTCTGGTAATTGTACTTTGTAAATATCTGCTTCCTTTTAAGCATAAGTTTCTTGGAATATGCTCTGAAAACCGGATAGAAGCTCTTCTTTCTGTTCTTCCAATGTACTTGCTGCCGCAGGTACACATGCACCTTCAAACAGTGAGGTATGAAACGTTATTATTTATAACCATTGTAATTTCAGGCAGTTTGCAGCTGATGACAACCTGTGAAATAGAATCATATCATTTTATACTACAAATCTGCTCTTTCTTTCTCTATCGAAATTTATCAAGGGGACCAAATGTATGAAATATTTTTTTCATTCCTTCACGTTCCCAGTGGGACATAGGGCTTCAAGCTAGAAACTTGAGGTTTCTGTAGCAGTGATGTTTATTTTTACAGGATGGGGTTGCTAGCCACTTCATGCCCAACCTTTCCTCTTTACCAGTCTTATTACCGGCTTAGCGAGGTAAAGGAGTACGTCCAGTGACCGGGGATCAAACCCCGGACCACACACATGGTTAGTGAGCACTCTACCAACTCATTATTCTCCAGGTAGTTTTCGGCTATTTAAAAATTCCATAAATTTGGTTCCATCGATAAGTTTCAATAAAGAAAGAAAGAAAGACAGACCAGATTCGCAGTTTAAAAATGTGATATCATCATTCTATTTCACAGGCTCTCATCACCTGCTACAAACGTCCCTGAAATTAAAATGGTTATAAATAATGAAAATAACATACTTACAATATAAATTATTTAAAATAATCCCAACGTGTTCAAGAAAAAAAAATAAAAACAAGATTTTTCTGAACCTTTCGCTGTCCAAGTTAAATCTTCTTTAGCAGAATGTGAAAGGAAGGATCAAAAAGGCAACATAGACCTTAATTACTTTGAAATCAGTAGGTAAATCTCTTGTACTCGTATCTGACTTGGCGCTCAAATTACTCCAGGAAGCATTCTTCAGTGTTTAAATAGTAGTAGAGAGAATATCATAAAATCAACGCATCAAAAAATATAAGCATTACAATTTTTGATTTAAGTTACCATCAGTTTCTGTGCTTTCAAAATAGAAAAGGATGGGGACGGGAGAGGAGAAATCTAATAAACAGTTTTAGCATGTAGGTTTACATCACAACTCAATCAGGTTATAGTTCATAAAATCGAAAAACTTGCTCAGTGATGGATGTCTAACCAATGTAATCAAAATGTAGCTGTTACTAAGGGAGTGAGATATTGATTGAATTCTCTTTCTGTATGCGCCATAAGTTTCTTTTCAAATGATTGATCGCAACTGCTTCAGCAAATCGTAGTATGTTATTGTCATTATTTATAACTATTGTTATTTCAGGGAAGCTTTCAGCAGCTGATGAGAACCTGATCTTTCTTTCTTTCTCTATTGAAATCCTCGCCTAGTTTATCATCTTGTGCTGGTTTAGAAAAACGAAGGAAAGCTGAGCGTTGAGAGGCTGTCCTATCCTTTAGAATCAATCCAACTGCTACAAAAACTTCAAACGACTCTCTTGGAGTTGAAAAGACGAAATGACGCGGTTTGGTAGAAGCCTTCAAGAAGCTAGTCAGCCGATATGCCTTCTTTTGATTAAAGCGAACATGAGTATTGGAAGATGGAATGTACTCGGAATATTTGAAACTGAGAAGGCTCCTCAAGTTGTAGAAGGAAAGAGATAACACCGTAGAAAAGTGGTTGTCATGGTGTTGTTAACAACAACGTTGACGGCTTTTATGCTATCGGAACCAGTCTCCTCGGGAATAATAACAGCAAGCTTTAATTCAAAAGGTTGTAAAATTATAATTATTCAATGCTAAGCTACTATGAGTAACTCAGACCAAGAGAAGAATTAGGATAGCATCTCAAATAGCGACGTCAAAATCCTAATGAGTGATATGAATGCCAAAATGGTAGCAGACAACTCATCATGGGTTGAGTAGCGCTCAGTGAAATGAATGAGAATGAAAAACAATTGATGTATTCCTTCGCGTTTATTGATATAGTGATTTTAAACAGCGTACAAAAGTGCAAGGATATACATAAAAGGATGTGTGTTTCACCAGTTGAACTCATCGAAATTTTAGATAAACTCCATCTCAATCTTATGAAAGTAGCCTGTTGTAAGGAACATGAAAGATCAAGACGAAAACCTTTACAGAAATTGCAGGAAGATAACAATTCAGGTTCAAAATTGAAAAGAGAAGGGTGAAGCTAAAAAGTGCTCTTTTATGGCAGTCATCAAGAGAACATTGGGAACAATACAGAATATTACTTACGAAACCTGCAAGGAAGAGCGCTACAGCCTTAGGAATAGCGATGTGGAAAGAACATGTTGATATTTTGGACAGAAAGAAGCAAGACAAGGAATGGCTCTTTACGGAAACCTGGAGGTTGATAGAAGCAGAAAATGAATCAGTGCAGATATTAGCAATGAAAAACAAAATAAAGTTGAGTACAGACTACAGTGCACTGAGAAAAGAAGTGAAGAAGAGTACCTGGGACGACAAATGATGTCTTTACGACAATCCGGCGACTGATATGGGACAGGCTACAGATAAAAGACACATCAAAATAGTATATCACATGGTCAGTTTTCTGTCCGGGAAGAGATCAACTCAGATGAGATCAATGAAAGATAGTGAAGGACAGCTAATTATTAAAGAGGTGGAATATACGAAGCACTGGATTGATTACTGGAATCAACCACTACCAAAAACTAATTCAGAAATATCTCTAGGAGTCACACAATTATCAGGAAACACCTATCCTGAGACAAAATCGAAATTCTTGAAGTCCACCAGGTTACAAAATATCGGGAAAGCAGGAGGACCAGAGGCAGTCTCCCTAGAAGCACCGAAAAATTAAAAGTCTTAAGATTTAAAAGTCATTATCTCAAATTCATCGACTTTGAAAAGGCTTCCAATGGCGGCGGCCATCAAACAATTAGGTAACTGCTTTAACGCTGTGAGATACAGTGGCGCAAACCTACATAAACATTTATAAGTTGAGGCCGCCTTCTACTACTACTGATAATCTTCTTTATTGTGGTCGACTGTATCATACAGCAGACTTTTGAGAGCAAGAGGACAGGGAGACCATGAAAGATCTAGATCTAGATCCTGGAAGGCTTATGTCTGGTATCACATTAACTCGAGAATCTATAGGCGAAAATCAACAAGCTGTTAAAGAAGGCAGAGAAGACAGGACTTTGCGTGACCCCATAGACAAAACACTGATGATGAACAGATTCGACTGCCAAGAGCAAATATTAATTCCCAATGGTGGGAGAAGTCTAAATAAAGTCATCTGTTTTGCTAACCACCACAGCACTGTTTTTTCTACAGATGGCAGCACAATTTAAGATGTCAACGTCAGCCAGGATGGGACTGGCGAATCATCACACCGAATTTCTAACACTAATCTGAAGTCGATTAGTACTTTTATATATAGTTTTGAGGCTTGATAGATGAATCATTGAAAGCACTTCCAGTACTCTTCGTACTTTCATCAACAACTGACTTCACTTAACACAGAAGACAAGATATCTGGTCGGAAAAGATAAGCGACGTGGATTCTTGAAAGTGTAGCCGATTATTCAAAAATCTCTCTCGCCTAACAAATACACAGATTAAAATGGAGATGGATGGATTGGATATACACTGAGAAGACATTCAGGTGATATTACACGACAGGATCGGAAATTAGAAGTGACCAGTTGGGCAATGTTTCTGATATTGATATAGACGAGATCTTGTGAAAATGAAACGCGGGCTTATCCGTAATTACAGAGTTTCCCGAAAAAGGTGATGAAAATCAGATGGAATGGGAATGTGTCGTTGAAACTCCATACATTCCACGTGGAATGCAAGGAACTCAAAATAATCACAAAAAGTTGGAGATGCTTTTTGATTCGTGTGTGTTACATTTGCTTAGTTACATAAAACGCTCATTTTTCTCGTATTTCTGGCCAGGAAGTGGTAGAATTTATTGTAGTTGGTTTACTTTTTAACACTGATTCTGTGGATATAATCTTATTGACTGTTACTACCTATAACTTACTGTTTACCAATTTGTGACTGCTTAACACTAACTAATATCTGCACATGTATATATTATTGGATTTACATGTCTAAGCCGGCCCAATTCAGTGAATGTCTGGTTTACGTCTTATATTCGGTAATTGTGTTTAACAGTGATATTACTGCTACAGTTTTTGCTATTGTTGTCATCGTTGCTTTTCCTGTTGTACTTTTTTGTGGTTGTTGCTGTTCTGATTTATTCCTTGTTTTCCTGGTTCTAAAGGGAGCAATTCAAAAAGTCGCTCCTCTGTAACTTACATCCATATTTAACAATTCCCTTCTTGGGCGTGAGGCTAGCAGCCCCACCCTTTAACCAAAACTGCTACCGAAACTTCAGTACGATGAGTCGCCTTGTGACGAAAGAAAAAGCGTGTGGGGCATGGAATGTCTGCACCATGTATGAAACTGGTAAAGCTGCCCAGATTGCAAATGAGATGAAGAGATATGGTATTCGAGTACTGGGAATATGCGAAAGCGGATAGAATGGAAGTGGACTCACCAAATCGTCAACAAGAGGGTCGGTGATCTACTCCCATCACCCATAAGACAACCACAAACACACCGAGGGTGTGGCTATCATGATGTCATTAATGGCAACGAAGGCCCTGATAAAATGGGAGACAATCTCGCCCAGGATAATGACCGCCAGATTCAACTCAAAAGGAAAGAGAGTGACAAGTATACAACTCTATGCACCCACAAACAACGCAGACCTCGAAAAGAAAGAAGAGTTCTACAGACAACTACAGGCCACAATGGACAATACTCCAGTTGGTGAAATTAAAATTCTAATGTAAGACATGAACGCCAAACTAGGACCAGACAACGCAGGAAGAGAACTCATTATGGGTAGAGAAGCACTTGGAGAGATGAATGAAAATGGAGCACTCTTCGCCGACTTCTGCGCCTTCAATGAACAAGTGATTGGTGGCAGCGCATACAAACACAAGGATATCCATAAGGCTACATGGGTGTCACCAGATGGGCGAACCAAAAACCAAATTGACTTCATCTCAATGCTGCTCATGGAAGTGGAGACGCAACTTACTGAACACAAAGATGAGAAGAGGAGCAGACTTTGGCTCAGACCACTATCTCGTGCAAGGAACACTTCAAACCAAATTGAAAACTTTCAAGGAAACAGGAGGTGCAGATAGACCACAAGCCAAGTTCAACACTCAAAAACTGAGGGATCAGGCCACGAAATGGAGACACAAATGAACACTAGCGAAGAGACCAGCGTTGAGAAGCACTGGAACAAACTGGAAGCAGTTTGGAGTCAAACTTGCATGGAAGTTTTAGGCGGAAAGAAGAGACAGGACAAACAGTGACTCACTACGGACATATGGAGACTAATAAAAGAGAGAAGGATGGTGAAACAAAAGCTTATCGAGTGCATCATCGATGAGCAACAAAAACAGGAGTTGAATGGAAGCTACAATACAGTGAACAAAAGTGTGAAGAAAAGTGCCAGGAAAGACAAAAGATAACATTATGAAGCTGTGGCAAGTGAAGCAGAACAAGCTGCAGTGCATACAGAGGAGACCTCGCAACACTCTACCAAACAACTAGGTTCCTACCATGGAAGAGATCAACACAAATTAAGTCAGTGAAGGATGACAATGGGAAGTCAATAACCAAAGAGGTGGAGCAAAGGAAACACTGGGCTGAACACTTCGAAAGACTTCTTAATCGACCGACACCTACAACGCGCCTAATAATACCAACAGTGGATGCTACCCCCACAAAGAATAAAGCTAGAGCTTTGAAGTTTCGGTGGTAACTGTGTTTTGTTTTTACGCGGTACGGCTGCCAGCCTCATGCCTCAACCTTCCTTCTTTACTGGTCTTATTACCAGCTTAGCGAGGTAAAGCAGTTCATCAGCCCCGGGGTCGAAATTCGGACCATATGCGTGGCTAGCAAGCATTCTACCCACGAGCCACTGACACAACGTATCCAATAAACAAATTAATATGGAACGTGTTACTCATATAACGTTTATATTCACGGTTAAATCCCTCACATAATCTCAATATGCTCATTAGGAGACCTTACACTTCTAAATACTCAATGCAATTCATGATAATGAAATTCCCAATAAACTTTTAAAATTAAAAAAATTTTTGTAAAATGCTTAACATTTTAAAATCCAGTGTCATATTCAGTTTTACATTTTCTTCCAGATAAACTTGAACACTAATCATAATGCAACTTCGAATAGCCTTCATCTTCATAATCAATATGGTACTTGTTAAATCACAAAATGAAACAGATACAGTGTTAGTTAGCACAGAACCCATGCATGAAGACACTTCAATAGAAGGTAGTGGTAGGTTGATTTATTCATTATTATATTTTGGTAAATTAATTATGGCGTGTTAAAAATCGATTAGTGGTCTTTGAGCTGCTAACGAAAATAACGTTTTTTTTTCAATAATGTTCAGTAAACCTAGGACAAGCGGGGTCTACCAAGTTGGATGTGAGGACAGTTATTCGCTGATAATATTGGCTGGTAGTCGTACTATCCTGTGGGCTGGCAGAAGTTACAACTGATGGGCAATTAAATTCTGTCCCATTGGATGAATGGTATACGAGCACACCATATAACCTAAAATTTCTTGGTTCGATGCTTGGTGGTTGGATCATGAGTGTGTGATTCTGAAGAGTTCCAAATAGGAAGAGTACGGCTGTCCAATACTCTCTGGTATTCAAGAGTTCTCTGGTTGAAGTTAATTCATGATCGATCTTGAAAGAATGTAGGAGTTTACAGAATCAATTCTCATTGAAAATTCACTCAATATAATAGTAGTCATATCAAAGTGGTATAAACACCAGAATGCCATTTTACTCTTTTGGCGACGAGCTCATCAGCAGTGTACCCTGTTCATTCAACTCACCTCAGACGGTCGAATCAGTTCAAACAACGAATTAATTTGCAAATTACAAATTCAACTCAGCCCAATTTCTACTTTTGTGCAAACAACGAATGCACAGAGTATCTTCTAAACATAAAGTGAAATGATATTTCTGTCTACTTTGAGTGCAAAACCTAAAATATGAGGAGAGCATGCTTTCAATACTCATCATATCCTTATATTAATGTAGTTGTTCAATGACCATTCATAAGTATGTATGTATACTTATATACATGCATGTCAAACATGTACAGGATAATAACAACACCAACAATAGGGAATATTAATCATCAGTAGTACTTGCATACAAGGAAAGAAGGAACCTCAGAAACCACCTTACAGAGAATTCTTAACAAGGCAGGAATAAAAGTGGCTGGTATTGAAATCTGCAAACTTAATTAGAAATAAGCTTTGTCAGTTAAAGAGTTGATCCTGTGGAGCCAATTAAACAAGACAATTTTGTTTATCTAATACCCTACCTGCAATGACTGTCAGGTCAAATACATAGGTCGAAGTAGTAGAACGGGGTCAGTCAGTCAGACTAGTGGAGCATAAAAGCCTAGTAAAATGTAGATTAGTTGACCCTAATAAAATAAGAAATCTGGAGAATAGTATAGCTATCCCACTCACTAGATGCAATTACAAACAATAATAAAATAGGATGATGGGATAAGATTACAGTTTTAAAATCGAATGCAACAGGGTGCGGGCGGGGGAGATTGATAACGGAAACTTTATTTATCGAATCAACTGAGGAGAATATGTGTGATAGAAGTGACTCCACACCTGTCCACCCGGACATCTGGAAAATTCTACTACTCCTACAAAGTAAAGCAAGAAATAAAGGAAACTACAAGAAGAAAGTTTTGAAGTTGTGTGACCATAATTGATATGATTATGAACAGTATTGAATTGTTTAATTGATTTGGATTTTCCCGTCGATTGATTGGACCAAAGTGCTCGGTCTCAGGTTGACGCGTCGGCTTCTTGTGCAGATGTCTGGGCATGCAATTAGAGGTTGATTTGGTGGATGGTGGCTAGCAGTGAAATCCAGAATGCCGATTTCGTCCTATTTGGGACTCGTCAGTTGGATGTACCTGCATTCCGCAATGAGTGGATAACGCTTTGGCTTTTGAAACTATGGACACTGGGTTTGAGCCTCGGTGGAGGGAACATCACCACTCACTGCGGAATGCAAGTACATCCAGTGACGAGTCCCGAATAGGACGAAATGCACATTATCCTGGATTCCACTGCTAGCCACCATCCACCAAATCAACCTCAAAGTGTTGAATTGTGTTTGAAACTTTGTCATCCAGTAAATAATAGTACTGTTTCACTCTGTGTGATATTTCTCATAAACAAATTAGCATGGAATTCACTGACCATTCATAAGTATACTTGATATCATTCAAATAGGTTTACTGTTGGAACTGTTTAACTGAATTGGCAATAACTGTTGTCACTTTAAGTTCATTAGAGGCTTATTTTCTTTTGAGTTTGCTTCCAATACCTTCTGATATAATCTCAGACAGATGGAGAGGAGCTTAAAACGCTGAATACTGACGATGATCTTGAAAAGCAGAGATATGTAAATACTTAGGATCAGTAGAAAAATGGAAGGTTAACATTGGTAATTATAGGTATAATAACTTGTGTAACTGAATGTACAGAGTAAACATATAGCTACATGTAGGTGGAAATATCTGCAGTAGCCTGAATTTGACGCTCTGAAACTGAGTTGATAAATCAAAGTGAAAACTGAGAATAAAAAAAAACTGGATTTCAACAGGGTTTCAAACCGTAGTACCGTAATACTCAAAGACGTCACTCCATCACTGTCATCATCTAGAGGTTTTTTCCTAACTTTGTGTAGATGAGTTACATTTAACTTTTCACTGAACATCATCATCGTAAATACCCAATCAGGCCTTCCAGTTATTCAAGTATTGGTTTTTGTAGGGATTTTGTTTGTTTGGTCAGATGATTTCATTATGAGCTGAAATCGGTTAGAGAACCATCGGAAAACCATTTGTGAGTACTGGACGACTGTTTCGTCCTAGTTTGGAACTCTTGGCACTACGCACCCACCTACCCCCAGGGTTCGAATTCAGGACCTTCCGGTTACAAGGCGAGCTCGTAGAACATTAAGCCACTGGGACCCTTTCTAATGGCCAGACCATGAATTTCAACTTCTGCCAAGTCACGACATAGCGCGACCACTTCACAATGTCTTCTTCAACGAGTTACTACCTCACCTTCAACCTGCTGCACCCTACTGGTTACGGCTTCCCACTAGAACTCCAGGTTACCGCCTGAATAGGGTCACTCGCTTGTGAGCATCAAATCGATTTTCAATTATTGGTTTTTGTAAGGATTTTGTTTGGTTGGCTGAAGTTGAATAATTAAGATGCGTAGGTTGTCAGTTGTTGGTCAGACTGTCTAGTTTGGCCTTCGGTTGGCAGATATCGGCGGTCAGAGATGTATAATTACAATGATGAATTTGAATTAGGAACTGACTTCAGTTAGAGAACAATTAACAAACAGGAAATAATCTCTAAATATTCCTATTATAAATATTAAAGCAAGACGTATAAGCGAACAATATTGCTGTTTTTAATTAGATCTTCTTCAGGGTTTACTCGAATTTACGTAGATTTATATATAAAAATTTTAATCAATGACGGTGAGTTTGTGGATCAAATAATAGTAATAATAATAATAATATGGTAAATGTTTTGAACGTCGTTAATAACGATGATTATAATAATAACAAAATATTGATAATAAGGTTTATGCTGGTGGCCATAAGAATAACAAAGGTAGTAATATGTGTACATGTAGAGAATTCAATAAATAAATTAGGTCAAATCCTAAAAGTTTCTTAATACTTAAGGTGAAGTGAACAGATAATCAGAGTTTAAATAAATATCATAAAAGTACGAAGGAAATGCAAAATAAGTAAGGGTGGGAAGGTTTTAAACAGAATTTACCTAGGCCAATGCGAGACACAAAGATAGGAGAAACTTCTTTTGTAAGCAAAGACACTGGAATTATTCTGTCGAATTACCATAGCTTCGGCTATGTGTAAAAGGCTGGTTGGAATTCCATTCGAAAAGTTGAATGGAATTCGATAGATACTTTTGTAGTTACTTCTTCTTTCCACTTGGTGACCGCTATCAATCAGATGAGACAAAATAGAACTTATTATAGGTTTTATTTGGCCTTGTCCGAAACATGAAGGAAGATACTCATTAAAACGTTTGTTGAGCTATCTAGTTGTTCGCGCTATATAGCTTTCTCCGCAGGAGCAGCTAAACTTATGAATAGAAATAGAAGTAACACAGCTGGGCAACTTATCCTTCGCTTGAGCAGTCATAATAGATAGGCTGGAAAGTGACAAACGAAGAGTGGAGGCATTATAAGTCCGTCTTATGGCTGTAGATAGTCATAGACGTAGGACTTCACTAGCCACGCACCCATTCAAACTACAGTTTCACGAGCGATTATTTCTTTTCAACCTTGGTCGGTTTCTCTTTATTATACATAGTATTCATTTGTCCGCTTACAAATCTACTGGGATAACCCATTTGGACCAACGTATTTTGGATGTATCCTAACTCATTTTCTAGGGAGTCATCTGTACAGAACTTTCTTGCTCTATGTGTGTAGCATCTGACTAAATTAATTTTGTGACGGATTAGTACAAAACTGAGGAAATGTGCATACTGTTCAACAGATGTAGGTTTTCTATAGCGATCTCTTTCGAGAGAACCATCCTCTCTTCTGATCAACTGCATATCAAGGAAGTGTAATCTACCATCTTGTTCTTCTTCCTCCTCACAAGTGAAGACGAGCGATGGATGTAAATCATTCAATTTTATTAACATTTCATTCTTGTCAGCTTTCTCATCAAGAGTAATAAACGTATCATCAACATAACGAAAATAAGAATCCATTTTATCTATTACTTGTTTCAATGAACTATTTTCAAGCTTAGCAAGAAAGAAACCTGCCGAAATTGGACTCAGTGGAAAACCCATGACAATGACGTCGTTTTGTTTGTAATGAAGGTTGTTGAATGTGAAGTCTGCATTTATAGTGTATCTTAGAAGCAGCTCTTTGAAACTAATGATTCGAATTCCGATATCGAATTGCTTTTCTATTATTTGTTGGCATATGTATTCCATAAGCGGTACATTGGTGAACAGTGATGCGACATCTAAGGATAGCATTTGCTTCCCATTTACATTGATATAATGTACGCTGGAATCGAATTCAAAGACGTCTTTAAAACTGTGATTTACCACATTCTTGTATAACGCTTGAAGGAGTTCACCTAGCCACTTAGCCACTCGATGGTAGATGGAATTAGACATGTCTAAGACTGAGCGAAGAGCTAGTCCTGGTTTGTGTACTTTCAGCAGACTATACAGTCTTGAAGTATTACTTCAAGTTGGTTTAAGACGGTTGTTGGATGCTTCGCAGATTACTCCACTTTTTCTCAGCTCCTTAAGGGTGTTTATTAGCTGCTTTTTAGCCTTTCCGTCTAGATCTGTTGGACTGCTAAGCTTTTGGAATTTCTTTTCATAGGTTAGAAGCGAATTCATTTTGTCAATGTAATCACACTTATTCATCAGTACTACTCCGATTCCTTTAATAGGCCTACTGATTATAATGTCTCTATTGTTCCTTAACTTTAATAAAGCTTTTGGATGGTGTTTAGTCAGCAGACTTTTGCTAGAATGATTGCCGTTTTTGTATCGTTGACAGCTGGCAAATTCAACAGGAAATACTGAACAGCTGTTTTATTCCAGTAACAGACTCTTCGTTAGTATGCACTCATGATGCCACCGGTGATCGAATCCATGTGAGCTTTCAAACCATACAGCCACTGGGATGGGATTCAGTTACTGGCCAATGAATTCTAACTACTACCAGTTTACAATATATAGCACAACCATTGGTCGGTGTATTTATTGAATATGATGTCCTCAAGCCCAACGCAGTGGACCCGACTGGTGACGATTTCTTACTAAAATTTCAGTGACTGAACAGTGTTACTGTGGTGTCCGAAATTAGGACGCGGCAGACAACAAGTGCTCCGTTCTGGTTTTCAGTGCTTTTGTAACTGAAGCCACGTTATGACTGTGTTTTATTATTATTATTTTTTCCTTTAGTTCCTAGAGAAACAAAGAGATTCAGCCACATGTCTCCACTGCGTTCGGTTCTCTGCCAACGTTTTCATTACCTGGCTCCATGTCCGCCTACATACTTTCATCTCCTCTTCCTTGCATGACCTTCTCCATGTCAACCAACCCTCGAACTGACAAACAACTCGTCGCTTTCCATTCAAGTTCCACTTGAGCGATGAACGACCTTGTGATGTCACTTGATGGATTTCTCAGAGTATAGCCAATTCACCTCTACTTCTTCCTATATATTTGTTGCACAATTGATTCCTGCTTGCTTGGTTGGTTCGCTCATTGCCAGATATCCCTGTTACTGATCTATTCTGGCTGGCCATCTGATCCTCAGTGAAGTAGTGAACGAAGATAACTGTTGATGAAAGTGTGTAGTTTGTTCGAAGTTGCTTTCGTAACGCGGCGCAGTGCCAAGTCTCTAATCCATATAGCAACACTGACTGACTTCACATAGGAGTTGAAAATCCTGATTTTATTTTCCATGCTGATCGCTGTTGACCTCCACACAGACATGAGAGAAATCAAAGCTTGACTTGCTTTCCTGATCCTCGCTCTGATATTCTCGTCAGTTCCGTCCGCTTGTAGTTGAAACGATGCTTCCCAGGTCGGTCGGTAGGTGGGTAAAGGAGGTTGCTTCTTTCAGATTTCTCCCATTTATGCTGGCTGATTGTTGTCTGTTGTTGGTGGTGCTGCTGTTACTGTTGGCCAGGAATCTTCATCACCACATCTGTCAACTCTTTGTTCACCTAAAGGCCTATCTTCTCTAGATGCTTCTTCTGACAACTTGTTGCTTTTCATCACTTGCATATCTTCCAGTTTGTGTGAAATCAGACATGTATCATCGGCAAATCAAAATTTGATTACTATAACTATTATTATTCTTACTGTTATTATTATTATCAATGTCATTATTATCCAGAGTAAACCATTTCACTAGAGCCCAGTCTAATAATCGAAACCACGATATCTGCTTTTTTATGCCAACTCATTTCGATGTATACTTATTTATGCATAATGCATATTCACAATACCATTATATAATATGCATATATCCTTTCTATTCTCACAGGTTTAAAACCGCTAACAATCTTTCTTATTGTCATCGGTTGTGTCATAATTTTCGCCGCTATTTTAGCCTTCTACTTTATTCGACGAAGAAGACGAACTGGCAACTTTTCACTTGTTGCTGCTCAGTATAACTGAAACGCTACGATGCCTTAATATTGTCATCGTCATCCCCAATCATCAACAACTAATTGACATTATTATTATGAATACTTATAATTTAATTTTTTAAAAGTGCTGATTCAAAGAATAATTCCTTTACTTCAGTAATTCTTTACTCAATTTTTATTTTTATTTCTTTTAATTAATTGGTGTAATTTAGTTAGCATAAATTCTAAAATATTGATGAGTCACTGAGCAAAGAATATTCTTTTCGATAATCTCTTTTTTCCCAGCTTCTACAGTCGTCAGTCAACCTCCAATTCATGAATATCTGACGGATGTACACTGTGAAATTCTAATGAGAAATAGCAGCGGTGTAGGGTACATCACCTTAGCATAAACTGGATGTTCATCATCATGGATATTAGTTAGCGTAATTGACAGAAGTTACAATTTACGATTCATTGAATTCCTATCGATTGGTTGATGATTCCTGAATGACGTTGCCTCATAGATTGATTATTGATTGTCTGATCCCTAGCTGAATGATCTTTATGCACTGATGAAGAATCCCAAGATGAGGAGGTGCAGCTATTGTAGAGTTTCATTGCTTAGTTGTTCGAACATAAAGTCTTCTATAGTTGCTTCTAGTCCTCCTACATGCTGAGATGCAGCAAGGAGAGAGTTGTGTATAGAGAGGATTTTCAGAGTCTGACAGGATAATATTTGCTAATTTCTTGTAGTAGTCCATGTGTCTATCTACAATAGTATTAAAGAGTTGGTTTAGCAATACCCCATTTGCCCTACTGATGGCTTTTGCTGCCCTTCACAGCATAAAAAAGTCTTACTTAAGTATAGCGGAGAAGATTAGGGTAGGGGAGCAGTAAAGAAGTAAAGTCAGAATACTAGAATTAACAAACGGTAACAGTAAAGATAGAATGATACCACATCGTCTTAACTTCCTTTCGTAGAACGTTAAACGAAACACCTTTTTGGAAACTAATATGAAGTGGAAAGACCAGGAAAGGTGATCAGAGGAAATACATAGTCAAAGGTATTTAGCATTCGATTTGGTTTCCACTTCACTGCCATCTGTGGTAGCAAAGCTCCATGTGATTTAACCAGTTCATGTACTGCTGAATCACTTTTTTTTTATTCCTTTATGTTTCCAGTGGAACATAGGGCTTCAAGCTAGAGGCTTGAAGTTTCTGTAGCACTAGTGATCATTTTTACAGGATAGGGTTGCTAGCCTCATGCCCAACCTTCCCTCTTTACCAGTTGTATTGCTGGCTTTGCGAGGTAAAGCAGTGAGCCGGTAGGGCATCGAAGACCGGACCACATGCATAGTTGCCGAGCATTTAGTCCCTGTGCCACCGACGTACATTTTAAAGTTGGCACGTTCATATCAGTTGACACATTAAAAAGCCAGAAAAATAAGTCAAAAATTATATTACAAGATACTCACTAGGATCAACAATTCATGTGGTATATGTAAGGAAATTATCAATGGATTACAGTTCAAAACGTGTGTATGTGATGATATATTAAATTGAGCTTTGGATATCAAAATAAGTGAATGAACTAAGCAGATTATGAATTGATTAAATGTGCTACCATTTCGCCTGTGTAACTATGCAGAATTTAGTGAAGTGATTCAGCTCTGTATACTCAATCGAATCGAATACTCTGCTGATGAGCTCAGTCAGTATCAAACGAGCGAAACAGGCGTCAGGTGTTTAGTACCCTTCAATCTGGCTAGCGAGTACTATTGGTTGATGTGAGTGGTGTGCAGCTACTCACCCCAAACAATCATTAGTTTATAACGTGTGAATAAATAATCAATAAGCATAATGAATATTTAATGGTGGTGAATATTCATGAGTATTGTTCACACTGAATTTTATTCTGCTTGATTGTACACTTCATATGGATGAATGATCACATGAAAAATAGAGAGAGAGAAAGTGGGATAGAAGGTTTTGTTTGTGTGTGTGTGTATGTGTGGCGTGTCTGTCAGTGTGCAAGTTAAATAGTTATGAAGGTTACGAAAATATGTGGTTTGATCACACAGGCGTGAAGCTACGAAGGTGTGAGTGAATCAACAATAAGGAATAAGGTAGTGAGGACTTCTGATATACAGGGCTTAAAAGCGCAATGCATTATAAATTCCGCAGTGACCCTGTTTCAGGAGAATTGTTATGCTTTCTGTTGGTCGAAGTTTTCAGAACCTAGTAACCTGTGGTAATTTATTTGGTGCAGGATAGACGATGGAAACTTATTCTTCAATATTGGTTTTATGGTCTCTTTGGATCAGGTGCGATAGTATCGATTAGTTAGTGCTTTTCATTATACTTTTATTTAACCCGGGTGGTAACTGTTCTCGGGCACAATGATTGTCATTTCGTTTATTTTCTATAGTTGGTTTGTAAGGATTAGCTTTGTTTTTACGAGTTGATCACGGATTGGTATCAGTTAGAGGACCATTGAAAATCACGGAGCACTAGACAGCTGTTTCATCTGCCTAGTCTGGGAATCATTGGCAGTAGGCACCCACGCCGTAGGGTTCGAACCCAGGACCTTCCGGTTACAAGGCAGGCTCGTATACCATTCATCCGGTGGGACCCGATTCAATGGCTCATGAATTCTAACTTCTACCAATTCGTGATTTCGTGTATTATTTCATTCCTTTGCGTTCCTTTCGGGACATATGGCTTCAAGGAAGAGCTTTGGAGATTCAGTAGCAGTGGCGTTTTGTTTTTATGAAGAAGGGTTGCCAGCCTCACGCCCAACCTTCCTTCTTTACCGGGTTTACCAGCAGCTTAGCGAGGTTTAGGAATGCGTCAACTATGAACCGAACCCCCGGACCGCATGTGTGGTTGGTGAGGGTTCTAACCCTGAACTACTGACGCACTCTTTGTCATTTTGTACAATACCGTAATTCTCAAGTGAACGTCATTCTTTGTCATTTCTCACAATGAAATGTATGGCTGATGATCAGATTCATCATTACATGTTCTTCAAAGCCCAAGGGAGAGTTGTCGTCTGAAGTGGTGTTAATCAGTGTTCGTCTTTGTTCAATTTCATCATAAATGGACTTAATAGAATTCACCCTAATTGACTTTAATGACTTATAGCTAGAATTATTAACAGAGAACAATCCTTTTGACTTAGAGTATCCGGACGATGTTGTCCTCCTAGGTAAAGATGCTGCTAAAATGCAAAAATCCTATGCACACTTTAAGAAGATATCCTTGAATGTTTGGCATGCGGTTTGCTCAAATCAAATGTTAGGTGATGCTACAGGACTGCACTGTATTGACTCCAAGCCTAGGGATAGGAAATGAAGTGGTGGAGCATGTTGATCACTTCAGTTATTTAAAAAAATTGCATTAGCTTCAGTGCACTGACTGAATCTTGACGAAATCTCTGCATGGATACAAAAGTCTCTTGTAGCATTTTTCAGCCTGCAACATCTCTGGTGTCGGTGCGAAATCCAGCTATCGATCAGGAGGATATGTGTACTAAGCAGCAGTTTTCCCTGTCCTTCTTTATGTCTGCGAGACATAGTCATTGAAAATGGAAGATATATAAAGGCTAGATGTTTGCGTTCTGCCTTTCTTGTTAGTTGGCATAATATAGTGAGTAATATTGAGGTTAGGCGTCGAACGTAAGGAGGCTAAACCAACTGATGAGATTGTGCAGCTTTATCGACTGAGATGGCCAATATGTGTGTTGAGCACGCCAAGTGGGAAGCCACATGGAGAGAGTAGACAGGTATACGTTGGTCTGACAAGAAGACTCCAGTAGATTCGGACTTTACTTACGGTTTATATCTAATATTACAGGAGCTAGAAGATCCACAGGCGAAATCCTGTCTTATCACTCTCCACAGTCTGATGTATGATCCAGTCCACCACTTCAAACGCATCGCCAAGTTTTCCGCTATGATCACCAGTCATATAACCAGCTGTTGAAGGAGGTTGGTGGTTATTTGGGCGCTCCATGCATTATTGTTGAATTGGTTTCGAAATTTCCTGTCGGTCAACCCTGTCGAAAGGCGTTTTCAAAGTCGTTGAAATTGAGGTAGAGTTTTGACTGCCATTTTGTGGTGTGTTTGATCATGATATGCAGAGTTGCATTTTGATCAGCACATGATTTGCCTTTCCTGAATCCAGTTTGTTCTGGTCAGTGGGTGGAGTCGTACATCCACTGTATCTCCTATTCTCTCTAGGATGATGCGACTTAGTGGCTTACTCGGTGTGGACAAGAGAATGATTCCATTCCAGTCATTTCTTGCAGAGTGAGGCGTTAGTCGCCCTTATGTGGTAGCTTGACAAGGTAGCCAGCCTTTCTTCCAGTCGGTAGGTACTTTTACTTTTTCCGAACATTTTGCAATAATGATGGGGGCGCATCTACCACAGTCTCTGGGCCCGTTTTCAGTGCTTCGGCAGGGGAGATTACCTGAGAAATGTGGAGTGTTTGCTGAATACATTTCGAACAACAACCTGATCACACACTTACTTGCCAAGTGAATTTATGTGAAAAATAAGGTCAATTAAAATGGGGCGGTTGACAACAGGGATCAGAGAATTATGAGAATAATTAAGACTTCGTTTGGGCATCTAGTGAGATAAAGATTCCCAAAGTAGGTAAGGAGTATTAAGGAATTGCTTCTGTGGGCACAGTAGGTTGGGGTTTAAGTTTACGAATAGCCAACGTCTCAGAGTATTTCAATGAGCGTCCTTGATCGTTTTACAAAAATAACCTTAAAAGTTGCTTTGACATGAACTTCGTGGTTCATGTCGCCTAGATGTCTAGCTAAAGACGAAGATGACAGTCTGTTACATGCGTCTATCGATTTTCCAAAGTTCATCTGCTTCTCCAAACACTGGGATATATTCTCCCAGCCTCGGATGCAAAGCGCCACTACCCTTCCCTATGTATGTGTGTCCACACACACACACGCACGTGAATTGGTATGTAGTTTGGGGTATGAGATAATCAACAGTTCATTTTTGAGGTTCGCAATGGAGCATATCTTCGGCACTTTCAATATTTATAAGCTGAGCTTCCTAGTAGGTTATGCAGGTGACCGAGGCTAGTCCTTGTCTCAAAATCCTACTGCTTACCTCCTCATTGTATTGTAATTTAATGAGAACATCTTTCTTTGGCATATACATTGATTTGACAAGTAGGTGTGTTATGAAATGGTTGTTCGAAGTGTATTGCGCAATACATCACATTTTTCAGATGATCTTC